CACCAACATAAGGCTGAATAATCAGTAACAGCAGCAGATGGCACAAAGAAATCTTGGGAAAAGAGGAAGAGGAGGAAAAGGCCAGTGAAGAAAGGGTATGGTGGGACAGATTTATTCCTTACTGGAATTACAGTAGGGAAGATTTTAGGCCAACGCTTAACTGGGACAAGAGCAATCTGTAAGTTTGCAAAAAAATAACTTCCTACGGGCATGAAACGTGACCTGTCAGCCTTGGGCAGGACCAGAAGAGAGGCCGGCTGTTACCCTCAAACAGAGGATTAGTTGCAGGATCACTGGGGAATGAAAGAGCAGTACCTGCCAGCAGCTGCCAGACAGCGCAGGGAGGTCCCACAGCTGCAGAAGTCCAGCCTGCCAGGGCACCTACCTGACCATTGGGCTGGTTTAGCTGGAGGGCAGCTGGTCCCTGGGGAAACAGGAGCGTGTTTTGTCTGCACTGGGTGATACTGAAAATAAAAACCTGCCAGAATAATACGGCAGTCAAAGCAATAGAGATCCTAATATTGGCACAACTATACCCCTATGAAAGTCATCTCATTAGTATAGCCAATTTCCCTTCTTGAAATAACATGTCCTACTATTTGAATATTTGCACTGACAGAAATGTGTCAACACAGAGCAGCTTTATAGCCTGATGTATTATATACACTGACAGCGTACACAGAGGAGGACTATTGTGTAGAGGAAGTGTCTCCATGTATAGATGTGTGCATAGATGTGCATGCGGCTGGAGAGGAAGCCAGAGCAGCAGCAGTCAAACCACAAGGGACACGAAATTGCCAGCTGTGCCTGGGAGCCTGGGCAGAACTGCAGTGCCGGCCGCTGGGCACTGCGCCCTTTGCAGGACCCAGGGGGGGGTAGCGACAGACCTGCGCATCCTGCAGCCTTCACCGCAGCCTCCAAAGGGGACAGAGTTTTTACTTTCTGCTCTCAAATGCAGCAGAGGTGAAACGTGCTAAACAGCTGTGAAAGCAGCATAGCCTCCAGTTATCCGGGGCACAGCTATCAGCACAGAGAGAGGCTTTACAAGCTCCTTTACCACTGCCAATTGCATTCAAAAGCCACTGGGGGGGCTTTTAAGGATCCACAGGGGCAGCTTGTTGGCCAAAGTTACCCTCTTTTTCAGCTAAAGATACCAAGGCAGAGTGGAGGCTTAAAAGTTCAGGTCAACTCTAATTTTAACTGGGGTGGTTTTCTCACCTCTGCCTGTATCAAAGGCAGTATCACAGTATCAGGATTCAGTGTCAGCTGTCAGAGATTTGGTAGCAATGCAACCGCTTTTATTCTCATCATTGCTATTTAACAAGGATGAAAATAGCCACCTCAGTGCACAGCCCCCCCTCCTTCTGCTTGAGAGACACTTCAGCAGCTGGTTCCCAAGCCCGCCTTTAACCTTGGCAAGAGCAAATTCTACCAGAATCACCTTATTACACACCATGACCCAGCTGCATCTCTGCAAAAGCAACTCCCTTCAGGTGCATTCCTTAATTCTCTGCTCCACCTCTCACAGCAGCACCAGGAGGCAACATCAACATTATTCACAAGAGGAGCCTTCAGCCTCCACACACTACTTCAGGTCCATCCTTCCTTGTCCTCCTTCTCCAGCCACTCATTTTTCCACACCATCCCCAAAGTCTTCCTGGCACTGCCAAGTTCAGGCATTTACGTTCCCTCAGGGGTTTGTTGGTTGTGTTTCCACAGGGAGTTTCAGGGCCCAGCTAACACATCCACATGGCACAAGCGCTCTGAAGAGCAGATGAGCCATACCACCAGGCATGTGCTCTGACTCTTGGTGTGAAGAAAATGCCCATTTGAGGAAATGATGAATTTTGCAGCCTGGATTCAGAGTGCAGGGCGCCAGCCTCTCTGCTCATAAACTTCAGAGCTCTAATGCCCCCTTGCACAGGGAGATGGCACAAGACCACTCTCTTCCTACTCTGCAGGTGAACATAAGCTTTCCTTGCTCCTTTATGGCAGAAACCATGTTACCTTTTCTCCCCCACCTTCCCTTGACAACAACTCTTACCTTCAGCAAGCAGGAGGAACCATCTGTGACAGCCAGGGTCCATCTTGGGGCTCTGGCAGGACATAGGGAAGAGTAAACCAATGCACAAGACTGCCATATGTTTCTTTTGCTATACTAACTTCTGTGGGTTAGCAGCTGCACTGCACATTAAATGCAATAATTAAATTAATTAAACTGGCCCTGCAAGCGCAGCTTGCAGTCTCCTCTCTGAGGAGACTTCTGTAATAAAATTATAATAAGTTAGAAAAATTAAATTTTAAAATTCTTACCGGTGCTGGAAGAAGGTCCAACAATGCTCTGCCTTTTGTTTGTATCACCCAAAAACTTTAGCAGCTTCTTAAAAACTTCTGAGAGGTGCACCTGTGCAAACCTGTGGCAGGAGAGCTCACCTGAGCCAAATTAATCCCCCTCCGCTTGCCACTGCAGACAGTCACACTGTCAGCTAAATTTAATCTCACTGTGGTACGGGTGTCCCTCTCACGGGGAAACTGTCTCAGCTGGAGACTTAAAAAAATAAAACACCTAGACAGAAAATAGGTACCGGCAGGCAACGCTTTATTGTCATCGACTCTGGGGTACAGCGTGCATGAAAGCACCGCTCGAGGCCGATGGAGGGTTAAGAAACCAGTTACGTGCATTACTTTTCAAACCTGCTTTGCAAGTCCTACAGCTAAATGCATGAAAACAGGCTCTGGGAGGCCTCATATGACACACACAAAAGGTTTTTTTTCTCCCCAGTGCAGAAACGTTCCCCCACATTCCCAAGGGCCCGAGGACAGCCAAAGAGAAAGCAAAACCAAAGAGCATTTATTCAGCCCAGCAACAGCAGCCTGCACAGAGCAGCATTTACAGGACTCCAGAGGGAGAGATCTACAGAGGAGGGGAAACAGCAAGAACAACTTTAGAGGTAGAAGAAGCAAAACCAGGAGGCCCTCTAGAGATGCCAACCGCTAAAGAAAAAGACAAAAAAAAAAAATTGCCTGTTAAAATAGATCTTGGGCAGTAGCAAACTGCAGGTGCTTAATGAAGTGACATAGTTCAAGACCTGCTATTTAAACTTAGCCACCTTCTAACATTCTCCAGCATTTCACCCCTAGCATTTGTGCACACATGTGTACTCTGTGGAGCCCTGTCACGCCTGCTTTGTGTGCTACCAGGCTGTCCCTCTTTCTGGTAAGCTGTCAGAAAAAATTCTTGAGATGCTAAACTCCAAAATGCTCTAGCAGATCTGCAAGGACTATGGCTTCCACCAGGCTCTGCAGGACCCCCCCAGAGGCACTGGTGTTTCAGAGCCAGGTCCCTGGCCTAGATCGAATGCCAAGACTTCACAGACACGAGTTCCCAAGTGCTCCCTGCTACCAAAAGTTGGGAGTTAAAACCACAAAACAGCAGCAAAAGAAAAAAAAAAACCATTTTAGAAGAGTCTGCTAAATAACTTCGCCGCTTTAGTACTGTACTAAAAAGAGTTTCCTTAAGAGGTGACCGAATGCAACGTTGTATCTGGCAAGCTGTAGTCCAGTATAGCTTTAGATGTACCAAATAATGCAGAAAATAAACATAAGAACCCCAAGACCCCTGGGATGGGCAGATCTCCCTGGAGTATTAATTGGCCTCCCAGCTTCATGCAAGGTCCTTGTACCCGTAAAGAACCTGTCAAGGCTCTTTGAACCTTCCATGGGCCCAGGGTGTTTCATGCTCTTGTTTTACTATTTTTTCTTCTCCCCAAAACTTCCATTTTTCTTTCTTTCAAAACTCTGCCAGTATCTTGAGGATGTCATGAACACCGATCAGGCTGCTCTGATCATATCTGATTATACAGATGCACCAACATCTGCTGCTTTCAGCCCTTCTTCTCTTCTCTCATAATTTCTCCCTTGTGCTTCCAAACCTTTGTATGGTGGAGGACTGGCACATCCCTTCCTCACTCTGTTTCCTGAATCTCAGGTTCAGAAGTGCTTGATTGGTCTGCATATAAGGCAAACCCTTCAATTCTCAGAAGATGCAAAAAAAAAAAAAAAAAGACATTTAGAAAATATATATATTTTTAAAAACTATACCTTGTCCCATGATGCCTGCCCGCAGCTTACCTCTCCTTGGCTTATGTAGGACACCCCCAGCCCACTCACTGCCCCACACCCCCATGTGTCACCCCTTGCAAGGTGGCAGAGCCCCCTGCCCTGAGCCCCTCTCCTGCACCTCCCCAGGGGTACCCCAGGGCGCTGGGAGGCAGTCAGATGGCACCGGTCACCTTCCACATCAGTCCAATGCACAGGGGAGCACGGGGGACTACTGTCAAGATGCATCCCCTGAAACGGGAAGAAAATTTCAGTGCAGCTGAGGAGATTTCTGCTGTCATGGGACTGAGGCTCTGACCTTGGCCTGGACATCTCAGGTATCTGCCATCGCACCAGCAGCTACCAGAGACTTGTAAAGGGGCCACCTGGTAGCTTCGCACCTGCAGCGTACCTTGGCACATACAGTGAGCTGCACATCCTCCGATAACCCCACCGCACATCCTCCAGGCGAGCAGGTCCTGGTTTCTCATTCTCTGCTTCCCAAATCAAGCTATCTAATCCTATAGTCCCAATGGTTCCAAAGCCCAGCTCTTACTTTGTAAGTAAATATATATATATACACACACACACATACAACTCCTACTTTCTAAGTATGTATATAAATATATTCTTTTCCTTTTTACATTTACAAATTGCATTTACACATGGATTTTATTTTTTTGGTATCCATGCAAGCTTCTTAGGGAAAATGAGCTCAAGATATAAAACTTCCGGAAAATACTTCCTTTTGTTTTTTATTCTTTATTAAAAGCCAACAACAAAATATACTACGATCTTTAAACTCTGTAGGGTGAATCCCATTCTTCAAGCACAAAGAATAAAACCACATCCACCTTTGCCTCCACCTATTCCACTCAACACCTCCCCATCAGCTTCCACACCAAGGCTTCACCCAACATTCAGGTCCAAAATGTCGCAGAGGTTTTTCATCACATGCTGAGGCTGGCTGGCGGCATACTTCTTCAGCTTGGAGCCCATCACTTCATAGAGGCTCTTTGCAAGCTTGGTGACCACAGCTCTGACATTGCCGCTTCGGACAGGCAGGGCCCCGTTTCTCAGGAGGAACCAGAGCGCAGGCAGAGCACAGCGCTTGACAGCTTGGGGTTTCTGAGGATGAACGGATTCCACAAGCACTGCAAGACAAGAGAGACAAGATTCTTGATAACTTTAATGCAAACAAGTACCTACCTTTATTTTTGATTCTTGGAAGGCTTTTCTGGCTAATAACAGCAAGCACAAAGAGCCTGATGATCCAGAAAGAGGCAACAGTGGCTGATCATCCACTGAACAGAACAACCAACCTCCAAGGACCTTAATTTCTCCAGATCAGAAGCTTTGTATCCATGAGAGACTTAGCAAAGTGAATCATACGCATTTCATAAATCATTTCACTATCCACTTCTGCCTTACAAACGACAAAAATGTCAAATCGCTGTTTATTTCCATTAAGAAGTTGTCTAAACCAGCTGCTGAAGATTTTGAAATGCAGCTTAGAGAGGTAATTGAAAGATTTCTAATAAAAAGGATGATTACTTTTTTGTGACCTTTGATGAAAAATGCCAAAAGTCTAATCTGGCAGTTCCCTTTGCTCAGTGGTGCACAGCAAACTGCACTATTATACCACGCTTCAAAACTCCAGCCCACAAAAGATGTGTGCTGCTTGACAGTGTTTTTAGAAACATCAGTGACTAACTGATGTCTTTGGCAGAATGGTCTAATTTGAGCTTCCCCCCCCTCATACTTGGTGGCTTCTAATGAACAGCTGCTTCAAACTTCAGAATGTCTTAGATAATTACCCAGACCCCATTGCCATGGCATTGGAGCATCTCACAAGTTTAATTGCATTTACTCTCACAATGTTCCCTGAAATAGGGGAATAGAGATAAAAAAGTCTTACACAGGGGTCTGAAATGTAACAAAAAAAAAAAAGCGTTTCCTCTCATTTTCTCTAAAGTCTGCTCTCAGCTCATTTTCTGAGCTGAACTGTACTAAATACAAACAAAAATTTACTACCAATAGGCTCCTTGCATGGCAGATTTTGCTGAGACATCAAAATCTGACATGGTCTAGAGACAGAGTTCTGATTTTTTGTTCAGTGGAAGTGTTATGCAGTAGCCATTTCTTATTCTTATAGTGGAAGGACCTTCACTTTCTCTATGCTGTTAATCTAGCATCAGTCATCAGCATTTAAACAGCTCCTGGAAGTACCTAAAAACAATGCCAGTAAGCAGGAAAAGGGTTATGGTACCTATTTTAAAATGGGAGTCAATTTTGAGTTTAAATGCTATTAAACAGAGCGGTCACTATGGAGCTTCAGAAGAAAAAGAGCTGTCTGTTCCCACTAAATCCCGGAGAGAACATCTGCTCTCTCTAAAGTAGTCCCAATTTATGTTCAAATGCTTTATTTGAAAAAGAGATTAAAATAACTGTAAATCTAAATTCTATGTTTATGGAGATTTACTTTATTCAAATTATCTTTAAAGGCCCTTTTACATGCGCTATGGCTAAACATGCCCTTTTGAGATTCGTAATGAAGAAGCAAAGTGTATTAAACCCTGGATTAAAAGATGCTGGTATAATTAGTAGTGGATTTAGCCCTAATTAAAGCAAGGCTAGAAATAGTCTTCTGTAGTATATACTGAGATTGTAATTTTTTCCATTCCTTGGCTATTGCTGACTTAGCAAGCTACTATTATAAATCAATTATCAATTGCATTTGTAGTGTGTCAGACAACATTGACATAGAAATAGACTGCACATCCTGAAATACTCAGGGTCCAAGGTCATATCTGCAGTGCAGGCAGGGAGCCTCAGCAGGTTGAGCTGAACTGCCCGCTTCTGCCCCTCTGCCCCCAAATCCTGCTTTGCTCAAAATCCTTCCCTGTAACATGTGTGTTGAGTTTTCACCTACGCTATGACCCCCAGGCTCTGCAGGATTCAGCATCAAAAGTTTCCAACAGGGAAACAAGAATCCCGTGGTGATAAAACAAACTGATGCTCAGAAATACCACTTGCCACAATTTTTTCTAAAGAATGGTCATTTGCTTTAGTACAGGGACCTCTTAAGAGACCTCCATGACCTTTACTGTACTGTCCTTCAAAGAGAGGAGCCAGACAGGGTATTTTTAGCCCCTCTCTTTCCTGGAGGCGGGTCCCGAGATGCCCCAGTGAGAGCTCAGCGCTGGAGCCCAAGCGCCGTCCTCATCTCATGTACTTCATGCCTCCGCAGCAGTCAGGCAAACCCTGCCAAATACACCTAGTATGCATATTTTGCAGGAGGGACAAGCTCTGGACCTTCTAGTGTTTGATGAGCTACTGCACTGTCTATTCAGAGGCATTCCCTCTAAATATTCCCTCTGAAGACTTCTTGACTTAGAAGTGGAAATTAGCTGAAGTAGGTGATACCTGAGAGATGTTCTGTGATATCCAGCAGAGCTTGGCCGCTGAGGAAAGGCACGCGGGGGGCCAATGCTTGCAGCAGCAGTGTGTTATCTGAAAGAGAAACATTTATTTCTGCTCAGTCTTCTGAGATTATAAGAAAAAAAATAGTGCGGATGGGAAAGGGCAGGGGTAACTGCATTTTGTAAAATAAAGTAAATTTCTGCCAGTTTCTGGGTACTTTTATTCTTTCCTTCCTTCTTTCCTTTACCTAGGAGGATTTTAAATTCAAAAAGAAAAGCTCTCATTTCACATTCGTCAATCCAAAGTTGACTGCTGTACAAGGAGCTGTGTTAAACATTTCGCATCAGGGCCCTCAAAATTTAAATCACATGTAAGCAGTGGGAAGGTTTTGCATCCCAGAGCTTCACAGAAGTGACCTTCGCCCTGCTCTAAAGAAAAGGGTGAGAAGGCTCAAAAGTCCACACGTCCATTAACACTTTAAGGATAAGCTGGCGTTAAATCTTTACCTGTTGGGATATATGGACAAGACTCCAAGTTACTCTTACAAGACAGAATTACTGCCAACACCATCCACTCTTGGGGGCTCTTTAACACCTCTGAAATCAGACCTCGGCAGAGAGACTGGAAAACAAACTAATTTCCCAATACTTGACTGTCATATATACTTTAGTTTTTCCTATGCTGCCTGTTGATTTGGGGTCTTGGTTTAATTTATAAACGGTTGCCTGGATTGGTCTGGAAGCCTCCAGTCTTACCGCTTTGATAAGCCAAGCAAAGCTTTTCTTGGAGGCAGGATGCAGGTGGGATGCTCTACGACACCTCGCAGTGTCACCGGGAGTGGCACTGATAAAGCAGGCAACCTGCTGCATTGTGAACAGAGCCAAATCCCAAAGAGGTTTTAAGTAGCACTGTGCTATCAAGTGCTCCTTTTTGCATGAGAGATAAAAAGGAAGTCCCTAATGATCTTCTTGGAAGTGTGCAGTAAAGAACTGGTCCTGCTATCCTAATTAAGCTTCTGCTTTGGTAATTACACTGTTCTCATTCACCTTTTTAAACAGACATTTCACTTTCTGCCTCACATTCTTGCAGTATTGGCAGACACTGTTCCACAATTGCTGTTCCTCCCCAGGGAGTTACCTTACAGCTGCTGCTTTGAAAAAAATGCCCTGAGATCTGGAGGTCTTGAAGGAGCACAGAATGTTAATTAATTATTAATATCGGTATCCACACAGATTTTCAGGGGAACGCTTGGGGTTTAGGTGGGTGAGGGGGAACTGTTTGTTGCCTTGGTTTCTAGGAAGCTAAGTGTATAGGCACTATTCACCTTTCAATTTAAGGGTTTCAAATGCCCTGTGCATTTTGAAACACTAAAGCTCGAGTCAATAACAAAATTACCCAACCACTACTTTAGCTGCCTTGAGAGACCTAAAGACAGGAGCTTTTAATGGCTGTTAGAGAAAACAAGGCAGCAGGCAGTTCAGTTCTTATTAACTCAGCTTTAATTCTGTGGACTACATATTGGCTAAACCTGTTGGCCACAGAACAAGCAGCCCAGCATTTGCAATGTGAGCAAAAGAAGAATCTGCTTCTCCATGCTCTCATTTTCCTTGAGGTCCCATCTTTGCTATGTTAACACCTACAGGCAAAATTTCCCTTCCCCTCTTGCAGAGGGATAGTTCCTCCAGGAGTTACTTGGGCTGCTGGCCTGACTCTACACCCTGGCATCAGGCAGTGGCCATCTGAAGGACATTTCTTTCATGACAGAGGACAGGGTAGGACAGATGTCAGAGGAGAGCAAGGTCTGTGTCTTGGTCCCATTGCAGTTGGGTCTGATTTGCTGACTTGCCTTCATCTAGGGTGGCTCCATCAAGGTGGCTCACTCAAGTGGGATTAGGGTCCCAGGTCACAGCTAATTAATGTGTGTGGCCTTCAGCTGGGAATGTCCAAGCTAATGTAAGGGTTAAGCTAAATAAACAATTCAGACATTATTTGGAAGCAAATTAGTTTGTTTGTAGGTAGAATTTTGGCCTCAGGAGTGGTTTTCTTTCTTAATTTTTTGGGGGTGGTTTTTTTTTGTTTTTACATTGAGTGATCAAGCAATTTTCTAACCAGCTTGCATTTTTTCATGGATCACTAAAGGTGACAGATGAGGAAGTCTCACATAAAACTTGAAACCTGAGGCATGTCAACACAGAGGCTTGGACCAATAGCTGGGCTCTTAGCTATGAAACTCAGTGGAGCAACGGGGCAAGACATGCTCACTTACTCTAAGCTAGGAGCATTGCACAATCATTTAGAGTTTGGGGGGGGGGTTTTATTTGCCACTTGATTTTAAATTGTAAAGGCAGACAATTTTAAAGCCTATGGGAAGGTTTCATTCATGCATTCTTCCAGCAGAACCTTCCTTCCCCCACCAAAGCCCTAGGTGTTGAATTTTGAAATATCTGTGATTCAGTTGCCTGTTTGAATTTTTGCAAACGTCCATAAAAATGAGAAGAACAAGAAAATATATCCCACCTTGTTTCTTTGAACCTGTCTCTAGGTACAGTCAGTGTGATGAGAGACAGATGTGCCTTGCTCCTGTTCTGACATCTGCCAGCATGGGAAATTTACAGTGATCTTTCAGAATTGCTGAGAGGGGAATGACAGAAACCTCCATACAAAACCCTGATATCTGATGCATCCTCTGTTAGCAGGATTCTGCAACTTTTCCCCAACCCTCTCACAGGCACCACAAGAAACGGGTAAGGGCCAAAAGCAGTGCAGGTCTCACCCTTCTCCCCACTTCATGGTCAGAAACAGCCCTATACTTGGGACTCATAAAGGCAGCAGGGTCAGCAAATTCACTGAGTTTGCAAAGCAGCTGATGTGGAGAAAGTTGTTAATTCCCTTTTAAGACCTGCCTCTTCAACACTACATTTTTCAGGCATATTCACCCCGTGCTGCATTTTCACAGCTGACATAAATCTGTGTGGCAAGGGAATTTACAGCAGACCTTGGCTATGTAGTTATTGGCTATAGCAATCTTGCCCCATGCAGAACAACATGTGGAACAAGCCATCATTTACAGCTGGATTTATACTTGTTTGTTCTAAAGAAATGAACTTGGCAAATCATAAATTCCCTTTTAAAAAAAGAAGACAAAGAAGAAGGGTGGAAAATAGACAGGACCAGCTAATGCCTATAACGTAGAGTGTTCCAGGAAGCTGTTCTGCAGAAGCTCTGATGGGCCAGTGTCCCTTCACACCTACGGCAAAGCAATTCATTTGGGAAGTTAAATTGGGCCCAAACAACCTCCAAAAATCCCTTTGTCCCCGAGTTCTAGCTAAGTTGTACTCCAGGATTTATTGTTTGGCTCCTTCTGTACCAAAGCAGACAAGCAGCACAGAGCCAAAGGCTCCTGGGACTTTGGGGAAATGCTGGTACACATTCAATCCTGTCTGGGAACTGGTGCATAAGGACGGCACCACCACAGCTTCTGGTTCACCAGTTAAGCAGGAATTCAGATCCTCTGATATATGGCATAAATTACACGAGTGATCTGCAAACCTGGCATCAACCATAGAACCCAAACACTTTATGTGGAACCTGATTTTCTGTAGTAGACTTTAATCGGTGTAAAACAAATCTGGGTTTGATGGTATTCATCTTTCTGAACCCAAACTCCTTGCATGCATAAGTATGCACACCCGAGCACTCATCTCACATTTCAACAGAAGTCAGAGCTGGAGTAAACAGCAGATGAAGAGCCCCAGGGACCAGAAACTTCTGGTCGTAGCTGCAGTGATGACAGTGGTAGCACAAGCATTGCCAGTGTGCTTCTGAATCTACACCAGAAGATCAAGAGGGAAATTCAGGCCTGGATTCATCTCACCAAACTTTAAACATTTTACTGAGGTTTCAGTGGGCAGATGCAAACACCTCCAGCAAGCTACACAGAGCAACCTGAGTCTTCCTCCCTGATGAAAATGTGTGCAAAAAGAAAACCGGGTAACATCAACACCTCGTCACTAAATCCTTCCAGCTGGATCCTCCAGGCGATCTAACATCAACACCTCGTCACTAAATCCTTCCAGCTGGATCCTCCAGGCAATCCAGCTACCTAAAATAAATTGCATAAGAATAACCTAAGAGTCACAGAGAACACCACTTGCTACAGACTTGGGTCTGCTTTTCAACCATGTCCTTCTGGCTGCAGCCAACCCTACCAGCCCCTTCTTCGCTTAGAGAGCCACCTAGTTGTCTATTCTTGTACCCATTGTTGTGAATCATTAATATCAACCATAAAACTGAGGTGAGAGAAAAAAAAATCTCAGTGTAATCCCATTCTACTTTACTCCCATCCTGTCATTTCTGCTTTTCTGAGTCCCTTATTTTTAGGCTACTGCCTCCAAATTAAGGCAAATTGAAACCTGTGCCAGGTGAGGGGAAGCAGAGAGCTAACTTCAGGACAGTATCTCCATATGCTTTTAAGAAATACATACTACCCACACACATACAATCAGTTTCTAAAGCAGATTACAAGGGAATAATTCCAAATATACTGACCAAAACATAGCTGTTAACGGCTGTTTTGATGAACTGTAAAGACACCAACATAGACTTCTGTAGTGTTAACCATGAAGGAACATGCCACTGTATTTTCCAGTCCACAGCATGCAAACACATAGCTTTTGGACAGCAGTAAGGGATGGGCTGGAAGTGCACTCTGCAGGGCAGGTGCTCCCAGCCAAAATGAGCCTGAGCATCCCCAAGAGCTCCAGCGTGACCCTGGTAGGCAGAAGAAGACATGCTGTACAACCTGCAGCAGGCCATGTGGTTCAGGACACAGGGCAGATCGTGACCTCACCCTCTCCCTACTGCAGGTACGTATTTTACATCAACAGGCATACTTGCGGCCCCATCCTCAGGCATCAACGGGACGATAATGGGCTCCTTACCCTTCTGGAAGAAGGAAACCAAAGCATTTCTAACCCCACAATGCATGGACACCTCCAGGCTGACTGTGGAACAAGCATTTCGTCCTTCATCTAATCTCCACTGTGATCTTTCATAACACAGTATCTTATTAAATTCAAGGTCTCAGTCTTTGAATTCAAAAGGACATTTTCCTTTGGGCTTTACATGGCTAAACTACTACCTCAAATTGCAAAATGAGTAACTGAGTTCAAAGCTTTACATATTGGTGTCAGCAAGGGCCAGACACATCTGCTCAGGAGAGCCACCACTGCCAGAGCATAGAACAGAGCCCAGCATGAGCAAAAAGCCTCCACCACCCTTCCCAGCATGTGTTTCAAGGAAAAAGCACATTCCTTTCATCTTGTTTTAGTGGATGTAAACAGAACACACATCTGAGAAATCCAATTCCATAAAACCAAAACACATACAGTTTCCCAGGAGGAAGGGGGAAAACCAGTCACAACAGATGCTAGTCACTTCCCTCATGCTCTTCTGGCATGAACTTAACATAATCCCTATAATGTCCTCTCTACTGAATTAAGAATCAGGCAAATGATCCGGGTGATAAGCAGCATCCATTCAGCTGCACATCACATGATACAACAGATTGGGACAGAAAGAATGCAGGCAGGACTTCATAAACATTTTGCAGCAGCTGGATATTTCATCAGACAACAACAGCTACCAACAGATTAGTGTTCACTTGACTCAGAGACAGAGAAGCCACAGTTGAGGAGAGTCAATGTCCAAAGTTAGCCTTACCTAAGTGAGCAATGGCTGCTTCCAGCACTTTCACAGCTGCAGCATAAATCCCCGAGTGCTTTGAGTTCAGGTTGTCAGTGACTGTTGCTAACAGAAGGACCAGCACTGGGTGTAAGGCATCTTTGAGCATGGGTGCCATCAAAGCCAGAGCTTCCAGTGCCTGCTGGTTCACTTTCTTGTTGCAATCCTGAAGTCTCAGGGCAAAAACATCAAAAATCTGTGAAGAAAACAAATGACATGAAAGCTGGATTAAAATGTCTTTGTTTCAAGAAGGGATAAAGAAACAAGTACCCAGCAATGTAGAAGATTAATGTAATCCTTTCTGTCAGGTCAGCGCTTGCTAGCCCAATTTCACTGTTTTCCTGTGGGCTATTCACTGTAGTGGTTGTACAACCTCAAGCTGCTTGAAAAGATTTTCATATTTTATTAAGAGGGGTGGGGTGGGGACAGGATAGTTCACATGATGTTTCTCTTTACCTATAAATCATTAAATTAATCCCATTTTAATAATGCAAAATAGTATCTTTGGTATAGAGGTATGAAAACAGGCATTTACAATGCCCATTTTTCCATAAAGTTGTCTCAAGTACTGAGGATAGTTCTAATTTTGCCAAAACTGTGGCTGGATGGCATCCAAGTTTTGCTTTATCTGTCTCAGAAACTGCGTCTGGAGGAGTGTCGGGATCTGTTGAACTCTTCAGGATGCAGACTATTTGTCTAGCTAACAGGCAGACTTCTGAAGTTTAATGTGCTGTGCAGTTCTCATTAGAGCAGGTTCAGTTCCTTGACAGCCACGTTATCAGTCACCATTTTCCGGAAAAAGGGAAAAATGTAGCTGCTGGGAGGAGAAGGAAGAGGCGATCTGTCTCTAGCCATTTTCCTCCTCTTTCCAAAGAGAAAAAAGGACCTTCAGGAAGGGTGATAACAGTCTTTCCCAAGCAGGAAAGGGATGAGGATGGAAGTGAATAGGCAGTCGTGTCTGTGCAAGACAAGGTAAAGTTTACAGGAACATCCTTAAAAAAAAAAAAAATTTTTTTTAAAATCAACTCAGCCTTATACTTCTCTCCCCCATCCCAACCCATTTTTCTTCTAGAGAGGAATTGCCAAGCTTTCAGTGGCTGGATTTCCTTTATTTCAACCTAACTTGTAGAAGACAGCAGAAGCTACAGCAAGAGTAAATTCTGTCATCATCTCATGAACAGCACCAATATGCACCTGCCAGAGAAATACATCTGGACTGAAATTACTTGCCCTGAAGTCTGGAGCTGAATTAAGTTATCTTGGGTGAGAAGGGACCAGCTTGTCCCAAAAAATTAGTATGTATTGCCAAGACACACTGAGTTAACTTTACTGGTAAAGGCTTGGGAATGGAGCTAACAGGAAAGGAGCAAGAGAGATACCCTACATACCTGGACGATGTTAGCAGAGATGAACTGGGGGTTGCTTTTGCAGTGGTCTAGGAGAAGCACCACTCCCTCTATTCGTGTTCGAAACTCTTTGGCTGTCAGGAGATCGTAAAGCTCCCTGAGTTGTTCAGTCTCTTCCACAGTCCGAAGTATTGTGCGACGGACTGTCTGACGGGGTAAGATGACTACATCAGCACCAGACTTGGAACTGGAAAATAAAAACAAAGAACTATTGTTGATAATATCTTCAGTTAATTGTGAAGAAAACATCTTGAGGGGACTTCCTAATGATGTGATTTCAGCTAGATCCTGATCTGAAAAGCAACTTTGATCTGATGACAATCATTACAGGAGACAATCTGCAAGTAACATTATCACTAGTGCTTACTTAGGATAACCAAGGCACCAAGGATGGGACTCATTTATCTTCAGATGTCTTCCCAGGTATTCACCTAGCATCCCTTTGTGGGGAAAAATAGGCACTACTTCAAAGTTTAAATGCTTCATCTTATGGGAGGTGTCTGTATCATAAGGAAATTAATTACTCTGAAGAAGTGTCTCTACAACAGGCATGAGAATCTGGATAAATAGCTCAGATGCATCTGAACAGATGAGTCCTACACAGAGATATTAAGGGGCATATCTGAAAGGATCCAGAGGACCAGTAACAGAGATAAAAACAGAAGCCAGCCATCCCACTACTACACTCACATTATTGCTTTCCTAGGGACTGGATCCACAACTTAATAAACCCAATGGCAACAATTCTCATGGATCAACGTGTCTCTGCCATGAGCATGTGGAGATCCTAACCATGCTAGCAAGTCGTGCAGTCACCTTCCTGCCACTGGTGAACACAACAGAGCTAAATAAATCCACCCTGTTATCAGAGGAGAACAGTTACAAGTAGCTCTCCTGCTGGCATGGGGAGACAGCAAGGACCAAATTCCTATCTCGAATGCTGATTGCAGCACAGGACAAAAAAACCATACTGTCCATCAATCAATCAGTAATGGGTCTGAATGACATGAAGAGCTACAGGAAAAGTCCACATTGAGAGGTCTGTCAATCAGAACTGCTCAGGAATTGTCTTACTGGTTATGAGGGCCAGAAAGCAACGATCGAGCCAGGCCAAAACACATGCAGAAAAAGTGCTAATTTGAGGAATGGCATGTTGGTTCTAGACTAGGACTTCTCATCAAACCACCCATCTAAAAAAGACTCCACTCAGATAAGAATACCCCAACTGAAATTACTTGTCCCAAGTCAAACAGCAGAGACATGACTCTCTCACAGCCTCCACAACACTGTCCTCGCCACTGCACTGGATCTTCTGAGCTGCAACCGGTGGTTGTCTCTTCCTTTCTCTCAGTTTTTGTGAAAAAACCTCCAGAGAACTTGTGTTCAGCCTAATGCAGAAGTAGACATTTTTTATCATAGAAGATTGTGGGGCAAGGTAAAAATCACTGGCATAGCTCATCTCCACCAGAAAGATTTTACTAAGGAAGAGACATGTAAAGCTTGTCATGTGCTTTGTCAGATATAACAGAAGTGCTCAGTACCCTCCATCAGAAGGCAAGTTGTCCTGGGCCATCATCAAGCTGCGGTTCCTAGCTTTCTTGGGGTGCTTGGCAGATGGATGCTCACATTTACGGTCTCCTATCCCCTACAAAATATATATAAAAAGCATGAATCTATAGAAGATAAAAGAGGAAATTACTTGTTTAAAACACAAGTTATAACCAGGATCACTGCTGCCAAGAAAGGCTTAGGAAAACACTTCATAACTTAGAGAGGGAGACAGGCCAGAGATTCAGCATATTGTCTACTATTTGTTTCCAATAACCCAAGGCAGGTTATAGGTGCTACCATTATGGGCAGCAGCATAAAATCCTGAATTCATTAGTCTTGAGCACAAACGGGAATAATGCAAACTGGTAGGGAACAAGCCTTCTTAAATGGAATAGTGGGAAACTTTTGGACTCTGTGCAGGTTGGCTGATTGTGTTGGGAGTTGATTTGGTTCACACTCACTCTCCCTACTCCTCCAGAAAGGCACATTCCTTTCTAGAATGTAAATCGAGAGGAATGAAAAAAAAAATAGGGATGATTTTCCACTGGATGCTGAATTCACAAAGCTTCTTCCAGCTCCACAGTGCATGACATCAGGGCAGTATTCCCGGAATACAGACAATAGATGTATTAATTGTGATTGCCTTGTGCATCTTCTGTATATTTGGACATTTTTTTGGCACTACTACTTCCTTTGTCTGTTGCAAAGACCGTATTACCTTCAGAAGCACTATTCTCACTTCCTTGCCTTATTGGGAGTGGTGAGGGGTGGTATTGCGGGAGGTTTTGTGCTTGAAGGTGAAGCCATTTTCTCCTACTTCCCTTTTCTGTAATTCAGGCTGATATTCAAAATACACCCACTTTATTTCTAACCGTACTAGTTCCTTCGCTGTCTGCAGATAAACAGGCTAAGGAACAACAGTTCATTCCCAGGACCAAAATGATTCAGCAGAAGAAGAATGAGATAAAGAAAGATTAGGTATGTTTAATCTCATATTAGCAATCTCAGTACTTGCATAAAGGAGACATTTCTCATGCCAAGCACTTACTTTCTGCTTAATTATTGCCATAACATCTTCCAAGTCACGTGAGGGGACAGACTTTTTCAAATACTTATCAAATTTTCGATGACCCATCAATATACTCAGCATCTTCCGTCCATAACACCTGACATAGGAAAGAGAGAAATGAATTACCGTTTTTCCTACAGACTATTACCGTCTTTTCTCCCTACCCTTTTAAATAAACGAAGGAAAAGTGTTAAAGAATTTAAACTCATCATGAAGGTTATTACCTATTCAGCAGAGATATTTACCTCCACTTATTGCCACTGCACAATGCTGCCAGCTGAGCACAAGAGGCAAAAGGAGAACCCAGGGCAACAGGAAAATACAATTTCACTCTGAAATTAGGGGTATGCTTCTGTGGGACTGCAGGATCCCATGGGACAAGCGAAGCACATCTCCTGATTTGCTGTTGTGGCTTGTTTGCATTGTCTTGCTGCCATTGCACAATAATTTACCTTTCTTTAACTGGCAGAGAAGCTAGGACAAATCACCTCATGCTTACTATTTATTATTCTATACTACATGTATGCACACAGGCAGCTAGTTGCTCATGTGTTCTTGCCATCTCTTAATGGGAATTTAAATTAATAATCAAAGTCAGGGGTTTTTTTTTTTTTGTTTTTTGGTTTGGTTTTGCTACTATGAAACTACAACTATCTTCAAGAGGAAATCTGGAGGTCATTCAGCCACAAACCACAATGATTGGGAAGAAAAATTTTTTACTATCATAGGCAACTAAATCTGCAGAAGAGGTTTAAGAAAGACTGCATCCATTGGTTAAAGACAGATGGAATTTTTCTAGGACAGTCTTAACCTTACCAGAAATAAATGCTTGGGATCCTTCAGTGATGAACAGTGGCCCACACTTGAGCTTTGCATTACACATACAAGACCAAACAAAATTGTTTGACTGACTAATCTGAGTACAACTGATCTGAATAAAGAATCATTTAAGTCACAGTAATTTGGCAATGGTCCTTCTTGCCAGACAACCTCATGTTACCCAGTACAGTCATTTCCCTAGACAACATTACTGATACTCTGAAGTAACTTTCTTAATATTTACTTTGTCTTCCACTCTTTTGTGGTTTTATCATTTATAGCCAGGCATCAAACAGTTTTCAAATTTTAGGAGGTGAAATGAAGATCATCACCTTGTGTCCTGATGAGAGTCCTGAGCAAGCTTCACCAGCGTGTGCACCAGCAGGTCGGTACTGTCACGTGTGCCTGACAGGAGCTTCTCGGCTCCGATTTGCTCCATCACAGTCAGTAGGTGTTCAGCCGCACACTTCCGCACCAGGACGTTGCGGTGCCTGGAAACAGGAGAACAAACACTGGGGCAGAGAGAAAAGGAGGGCCAGAAGCACAGGCCTCAGTTGTAGCATGCTCCCTTGTCATTTCTGGGGGAAGGAGACATGTGTCCTCACTGCAATTTTAGCCACCTGTAGAAGATTCTGTCCTCAGATAAACACAAGGTTGGCATTGTATAGAGGGGCTACCTGCAAGGAAAAGGGAGGAATTTGATCTCTCTGGACTATTCGATACTCCCATTTTTTTCATTAAATTGACCCTGAAAAAGAGGGAAATTAAAGACAATTCACGCTGACTCATCAGAGGGCTCCCCTGTGCAGACAGAGCTGGAGCAGGATTGGGGCTTATTCCACCTATTTGGCTCCAAATCTGCAGACCCTTGAAAAAATCAAATGGGGGGAAAAACCGTGTGGGATGCGAAGCTGCAGAATATCCAGCAATGCAGCTAGTTTGTTCTTTGATGCTTGGCAAGAGGTACATTTGAATGTTTTACCCTTTTCAAAAGCTGAGGAAAGGGTAGCAGTCATTTTAGCCAGGTTGTCCTTTCTAGAGCGTGCCTATTTGAAACTATCAGGCACAGCACTAATATTTTAAGGCAGCATTTTCTTCAGCTATCCCATGGGAGTCAGCCTGTGAAGGCACCCGTAAAGTGACTCAACATCTCAAGGCTAACAAGCAGCATCAATTTGAATAGAAAGTGGAGCTCTAAAGACACTACGGTCAGACAGACTCCTCTCGGCAGGAACTGTGCCTGCTGAGCAGGTTCTCCCCTTCGTGCTCTGTGTCCCAGCAATTAACCTGCTTGTTTTTCAAGTTAATGGCATAATGATGATGCATGGTTTTTCCCAGTGCCTCTGTGGTTAGTGTTGTGAAATATCAAAGGGTGCTCACTGCTGGAATTGCCATTGTCCCACTTCCTGCAAAGCCACAAGGCTGTATCTCCACCCTTTGCAGGGACTTTCACTTCCCCATCATTCACCACGTCTAGCCAATGTTGACAGACTATGAGAATAAATAGGCTGCAGTAGGGCAGAAGCAGATGACAAGAGGAAGGGAGCGAAGTTGATCAGAGACTCTAATCACAGAGTTCACAGAAGATGCCGGAGAAAGGACCCTTCCCTCCCATCATTCCCCTTCTGCCTCCTGTCCCTTCCCCCTACCCACACAATTGAAGGTGAAGGATATCAGTAAGAACAGAATGACATACTGGATTCCACTAGCCATGAGAGCAGTCATTGCTCGTGCAGGAGTCACATTCCCCACCATGATCCCCAGGGACTGACTGGCTGCTTTCTGAATGAACTCGCTGGTGTCCCCCATCCTCTGGAGCAAGACCCGAGCAACCTCATCCACCTCGTGGTCCATGTGCTTCTTCATGGTCCTGAAGAGCTCTCCAAGAGTGCTGATTGCAAAGCGAGACACCTTTGAGCGGAGATTGTTCACCTGGAGAAGTCGTGAGAGGAAACATAAGAATCACCTTGTAAAGCAAATCAGTTCCCAGGAAACAGAAGTCCCAGGAAACAAGACTTGTCGCTGTGTCCAGGAGGAACATAAGAGCATGGTAAGAGCAGAAGAACACAAGCACAGAAACACATTCTCATACCAACTTCTTCTCTGGCCTCAGGCCCACTCACACAATTTTAATGAGACTGCAGGCCTAAAAAGTATTGTTTCACCTAGAACAAAGTGTGCTACTTAGCCCATAATGTACACTGCTTTGATTTGAGGCCCTTCTATTAAAAACAAACAAAAAAAATTAAAGCAATTTCTGCTTTTTAAAGTATAAAGCCACAATTTATAAAGACAAGATAGAGGAAATGTAGTATTTTCCTCCTGTCAAAAAATGCAGTGCTGGCAGTTTGAGCACTCAACCAGGAAACAGAAAATATGGGCTCAAATCTACAGACTAATTTGCAGCAGGGACTTGAGTCCATCTGCTGCTCTGCCTACTAACGAGAACCCTAGCTTTTGGACTCAGGGATCCTGGAGATCACATGCAACTACAGCTGCGATCAGCAGGGGTTTACAGCATTCAATGCTGCTCTGGAGTGATCCCTGCTTCCAAAAGGCTCTCCCCACAAGGGTAAGGAAGAAGCACCTGAGAGTCATGTGCTTCATTTGAAAGATACTTTGAAGGACAGACCAGTGGTTCTTTCTGCCAGACTTAGTTGTGCCTGTTAATAAAAATGAACAACATAAGTGCTAGAAGTGCTTGTGAAAGCAAAATCTGGGACTTGAGTGAAATGAAAGGTGAAAGATGTCTCTGCACATGAGTGTGTAGAACAAAGAGGAAGAAATTTCCTCAGAACTATAAATGCTATATAAAAATCAGATGAGCTAAGCTAAAAGGACTTTTTCTCCTAACCCTGATCTCAGAGTGGGAGAATCTGAGTCCTGCATATCTAAAAAGAAAGGTTTGAAGAGTTCAGCAACATGAGAGGCATTCAAGCCTCCAACATAATTAAATATTGGATAGAAGGACTGATTTTCATGGAAATGAGCTAAGTCTTACTGTTTTCTGCAAGCAAAGGAAAATTTAACATATATGGCAATTGTGTGGTAAGGGTATAAGGAAGCTGGTTCAGGCCACAGACAAGTCCCAAGTTAGAAATATAGCCACAGATTTTAAGGAGCTTAGGTTGAGACCTCTCTGTTAAATGAGAAATGAGATAGTGAAGCTGTGTGCGAATGCCCTGCAAACGCCACAGCCAGGCCACTCCAAACACCCAGCAGCTGCAGTGCAAAATTCCACTGGTGCACAGAGGCAACAGATCAATGGAAAGGGCAAATTACCAAAAAGCATGCAGAAAGGAGGAAGGAGAAGACATGATCTGGAAACACTGGAAAATAAATACCTGCAGTGAATCCCCCAGGACAGTGAGGAGGAGGGGGAAGTGGGAGGAAGCTGGGAGGCAAAAGCTGCAGTGTTTACAGCTTGGGCAGAGATTTGGGCTGTGGCAAATCACCTGATTAGTGTCTCATTTTCTGCTTTTATATATTGCATTATAATGACACCTAGCTCCAAGAGGAGACAGATGCCCTACATACCAGTAAATATAGCTACATGTACAGACAGATCATATAGGTAGGTGACATAGCTATTAGAAAAATGAGGTCTAAAAATAGTAACGAAGGCAGACACTGAGCACATATGTAAATTAGTAAGAATGTATCTACTCTATGCCCCATGTATGAGGTATGTGGGACACTGTTAAACACGATGTTCTTACCTCTTTGGTAACAGCCAAGGAAACATCATGAAGTCTATCAAGAAGCACTTCAGAGTGGCAGATAGCCAGGCGTTTGACACTGAAGAGTGCCTTCGCCTTCTGCTCCCTGAAAAGCAATTACCAAAAAGATTTATTTTTTTCACCCCCCAAGAACTAGGCAGCACCCGCTGAAATTACCCAGGGTGTCCACTCAAACAAACAAAGGGAGGTGCTTCTCATACAGCACTTAATTAAATGTTGGAACTCCTTGCCACAGGATGCTGTGGCAGTCAAAAGCATACATAAAACCAAAAGGCAAATAGGTGGTTTCAGAGCGGATGGGTTAATTTGTGGCCATTAAACAAGACAGCCTTTCCAAAATCCTTGGCACACAAAGTCCCTGTTTTGCTGCTTCCTAGAAGCTGGGAGGCTGTGCCATGTTTCTGTTTCTTGCACCTTCTCTGGACCCCGTCCCTGAGATACAGTCCTGCCTGGCTGTTACTGGGGCATTGTCCCTCCTCACCATCCCCAGAGGGCAGTTCAGGAGTGAAAGTCTGCACTGCCACTCCATAGCTGAGTTTGCACTCTACACTCTAGTCATCTCCCGCTTCCCCCCTCCCACCCAAAAAAAAGCAGTATGTCCTAAAAGATACCACACCTGGGCAAGAACAGTCAAAATGCTGGATTTTCCAGAATATCCTTACTTAAAATAACACCCATAACAGCAACATTTTATTTAAAAGTAATAAACCCCATCATCTTTCAGCACTTTCTTTGTAAAGGACCTGAGCTACGTGAAGGCACATGATGCTGTCGCTGGTTCAATAGGGCTGCAGGGCAGGACTGGGGACCCATCCCCACTGGGGTCCCCATGTGTAGCCTAGACCCCCCAAACCTGCAGCAGCTCTCTGCACCTCACAGGGCACCAAAAAGAGTAACAGGGAAGAGAAAGGAGAGAGGGGCAAAACAAAGTGATCACACAAGGAGATGCATCATGGAAGATTTTTCAAGGTTATCCCAGTGTGAATGGAGCCCTTGTGAGTGTATGCTGACCTAGAAATCAACAAGACAACTAGTATCACCTGAAATTTGTAGAGTCTCCTCCTGTCTGTGTCTAATTTCAGGACACACTGTGATTAGGAGTAAAACATCTTTGGCCCATATTAAGCAGTAAGAAGGAAAAAGTTTCATTCTAGAAGTGCAAGATTCCTAAAGGATTTTTTTTTCTTTTTCCTTGTCTTCTGCCATGAGCCCTTCAGGAGAACTGAGAGGCTGAGCAACTCTGCACCATGTCTCAGTCCATTTCTCAGAAATAGCAGCACCTGTGGGGAGTTCCTGGGACTCAAGTGCAGGAGGTCAGAGGGAGGCCCTGTCTCCTGCTGCTGCTGCCAGCAGCAGGACCAGAGATAAATCCTTACTCAGTCTCACCTGGGCCAGTGACCCAAGGCCCCCAAATCTCTAAACTCAAGACCACTTCCATCCTGCTTCTGCCTTCAGCCAGTAAATAATTTTGTTCCACAACTTACTCTCTTCCCTGAAGATTTCATTTGCAGCTACATGGAACAGAAGGCAAAGCTAGGAAACAGCACAGACTGGCTGTGTCTATAGCACTGCTACAGCCAAGGCAAATAAAAGGCTGCTCTCACATCTTTATACTGTGACTGCTTTGGAGTAGCTTCACTAGTTCCTTTTGGATACCTGGGCTGTCTGGGCTCAGAGGCACTAGAAAAAAACATTTCTAACTTACCCCTACACTGAGAGGGAAAAAGAGTGAAGAGGGCACTTTCTTACCAGTCGTCACTGCTGAGCCATGTGAGCACATTGAGCAGCTCCTGCTGTGGGTGAGGGAAGGGGATGGCTTCCCGGGCATCCCTACACCCTGGCTCCTTTGTCTGCTCCATGGAGTCCAGAGCAATAGCCGGCAGCGAGTTCACTGTAAGGAGAGGGTCAGGTATCAGCATTGCATACACCAGGGCAAGGCACCCCACCACCAAGCAGACTGCAACCCAATCTCCAGCCAAGATTACATATGGATGCAAACTGGCATTGGTTCAGAGACTTCCCTGCTGTCTGGTTCATTGCTTTCCCCAGCACCCAACCATCTCGCAGTCACCCCCAGTCGGGCAACAGTTCCTTGTGTAAACCTGAAAACTGCGCACACAGAGCCAACTCCCAAGTCTATGTAGGTACTACAGCCAGCTTGCAGATTCATAGTGCCACAGAGCTCATGCTCACTGGGATCCAGTGCCACCCAGCAAGACTTGATACCCCAGGAGTAAGCTCCTGAGATGTGCACATACCTCCCATATCACCTCCCTCTTACCTGGAGCACTGGGGCCATAGGCACCCTCTAACTTTCTGAGGCAACATCTCCAGCTGCCCCCAGTGAGCACCAAGCCTGAACAACCGAGTCCTGCTGGGCTCGGGCGAATTCCCAAGGAGGAACCACCAGGGAACAGTGATACCTGACCCCCTAAATCTGACAATGCCTCTGTTTCCATTTACTTCAAGTATTCTAGACAGCAGGCAACTGAGTCCACATACATTTTAGCGTACTATTGGGAAAGTAGTAGTTTATGGATTTTGCCATTTTCCAAGCGTTATGAATATTTACTATTTCAGAGGTACTACTAGCTGTATTTTGAAGATGCTGAGGTGAAATTTATTTGTCATCAAATGTACTTGTTTGCAAACTGTGCAATGCCTAAGCTTTCTCTTGTGGAAAAATGCAATTTCTAGTCTAGGTAGTTGTGACAAAAAAGCCTTCCAAATGTGAACTGAGAATAGAAATATGTAAATATAGATGCAAATTGTTGGCAAACACACTCTCTTGATGATAAATATACGAGGTATAAGAAAATTCAGATGACAAATGCATTTGTTATGAAACCTCTTTTTCATCAAAAGCACTGTAGGTCAAAAATCTCATGTCTTGCACTCAAAAGCTCATTTTCTAAAGTGTAGATGAAAACACCTGAGCTGTCTAAAAGTATTGACTATAAATATTGCACAGAATCTAGACGAACTGCTATGGACTCTGTAGGGGTTTTATGCTACCTTGCATGTTCTACAAAGTATGGAGGATGGAGAAAATGTAAAATCAAAAATATTCAGATGGGGACTAATTTGGATGTCACCAATATCAGTCATTAACATCACTGATGTCACTGCATGAGTATGTACATATACACATCTACATTCAATATGAATGGAGAGCCACATCAGGCTAGTTCTGGTCAATTTTGAAAATCAGAGTAGCATCACTAGAAAACAGCATTCAAAGTATCATTCCTAACTCCCTTTTCTTAACTCACACTACTCAGGATTGTAACACAAGGTAGGCTGCCTGCAAAGGAGATGAGAATCACTATGGACTCACTATCTGCTGTATATTTATCACAGCCTGGGAGCACCAGGCAGCCTCTCCTGTACATCATCTGCTACACACAGCCACCATATTTAGGTGGGGTGACTGCTTATTCTCAGTTTGCACTGCAGGCCTCACAGATGAGAGAGGCTGGGAGCCGTTAAGCACTTCTAGGTGCAACAGCATGATTGTACCAAGTCACTAATTTCCCTGCAGAGACAACCCTTGCTGCAAAAGTAGAAAAGCTGGCTGGAGAGCCAGACAGCAGCATAGGCAGGGGGTCAAGACGGTGAGTGGCTAATTGATCATGGTGGTACGCATATGTGCACAGTGAGCATACCCTGCCAGACTGTACTGAAGCTCAGCCCTGCAGTTACAGCTGCATCCTGGTGCCAGTGTTATATTTTGGACTATCAGTATGGGCAAAAGCTAGAGCTTAAAGCTTTACCACTACTTTATTCAGCTCAGCTTTCCAACAGATCTGTAAGTACCAGCTGCTCCAGTATCACCAAGCTGGAGTGGACCCAAAGCAGGTTTGCTTTCAATCCTTCAGAACAGACTTTGGACCTGAGATCCTACCTGTGGCTGAGGAATGTGAGAGTTTGTGCTCCTCCTGAAAAGAAAGAGCTGGTGCAGGGACTGCAGCGGAGCGGGCTCACCTGAGGATTTGCGTGGGAAGTTGCCACCCTTGCTGACAACGGGGATGCTGGGCAGTGAGGGCCTGTTGACCCGCTTCCTCAAGGCAGTACCAGTGGTGTCTTTGCGTGCATTGCTCACGCTGGCGGAAATGGAAGCTGCCCCATTGACAGGCGGTGGACCAAAGGCTGCAGAGACCAGAAAGGACCTTGTAAGCGGAGAGTGCTGAACAAGCTGGCTATGTGCTTGGAAAGGGCTAGAAATCTTGCTGGAGCTGGGTAACATCCTTTTGTTGTCCCAAACAACTCAAAGCATAACAGTTGCACACTAACATGGGGCAGTGATCACAGAATCATAGAACAGTTTGGGTTAGAAGGGACCTTTAAAGGTCATCTAGTACAAACCCCCTGCAATGAACAGGGGGACATCTTCAACTAGATCAGGTTGCTCAGAGTCCTGTCCAACCTGACCTTGAACACCTCCAATGAAGGGGCATTGACAACTTCTTTGGGAAACCTGTTCAAGTGTTTCACCATCCTCATCATAAAAAATTTTTTCCTTATATCTAGCCTAAATATACCCTGTTTTAGCTTAAAACCTAATACAGTGATGCTTTCCCTAAGAAATGAGGAAAACTCAGTACTACTTTTCTTTTGCTTTCCTGTTTCAGAGGCTGGATAGGGAAGTTACATTTCTGGGGCTCCCACCTCAGCACTCCTCACCAGTACTTCACTAAACAATAGCAAGAAGAGCAGATAACCTTGTCTGATGCCCTTGGGCTGAGTGCTGACTCTTAAGTTCCCTGCTGCTGCACTCATGGTAGCGCATGCAGCAATACAATCAGAGCCCGTCAGCTGCAATTAAGTCAGTAGCTGCTGGCTCCTGTGGGTAAAGCATAAGCACTGGCTAAGGGCTCCAGTACAGCTCTTCGATGTGAGCTCCTCAGCAGGGAGCGAGCAGAATAATCTGTCCCATCACCCAAGCAAGATCTTTTGTGTTTTAATTAGAAACAGTTTGATTGTTTCTTCCAGGTTGCACCTTAGTTGAAAAGCATTCTTTTGGACTCACCCATTCACCTTTCCTGGAGGCTACTCTCAATTAGAGAGTCTGAAGCCCCAATGTAGCTTGCAAGACAAGAATTATCCAGTGTGAAAGACTTTATAGAAGAAGGGGGAAAGGTGACATTCTGTGACTGATTCAGAGTGGACCACGGGCAAGGCACTTTATGCCTTCGTATTTTTCTTTGGAAAATGGAAATAAATCCTATTCTAACTTCCACTCCGATGCAAGTGTAACAGCCTTCCAGTCTGATTTCACAGGCATTTGCAACACCATGCAAATAGCAAGTAAGTAAACAAAAAGGCACACAACTATAGCAACCACTTACTTTCTTTGGCTGCATCCCCAAGGTCACCACTTTGTTCAAGGAGCTGCAAGGATTTTCCCTTTTGTTTCTCCTCTCTACGTAAAAGCTCCATGTGTCTCATTCGCTCCTGCTTTATTTTCTTCTGAGCTGACTTGGACAAGATAACATGGATCTAGTTGCAATGGAAATACATCATGAAGCATAAAGAGAGATACATAAACCATACACAACACCTCATCAGGAACAGAGTGCTGGAGTGTCATCATCTTTAATGCAGCTCCATATACATCCCAAGAATTTTGGAAGAATTACTCCTTTCCTTGCCTCGGCATACAGTTACACCCAGTGATGTATAACACTTCGTTGCCATAACCTTCCACTGGTCTAAGATACTGTGCCTCATTCTATGTCAGGAAGCCCTGCTTGAACCAAGAGAGTCATAGGAGTGCTCCAAGACATATGAAGAGCTCACATTACCAGTGAACAGGCAATTCGGTTCCTACAGGCCAAGGCAGGGGAATAAAAAGCATCTGCAATAACCAGCAATGGGTGGTAATTTGCTGTTTCTTAATACTCATGGCCAGTAATTGCAGCTGCTTCTCACTTCCTCGCTTCTGAAGGACTCACATGCTCTCTGAGAACACAGGAGTCCAAAAAAGGAGTCATGTGAAGACAAGTTCGAGAAACATTGGTCTTAATGAATGGAAAAATTGAGAATGAGAAGGCTGTGAAATACAGCAAGACAGGTAACTGAGGAAAAGCAAGCTCTCCCATTTTATTTTGTAGCCTTGCTTACACTCAGCATTATAATCTTTGCTTCTGTGCTTCCAAGCATGCACTTGCATGTGTTCACTGATGTGTAACTTGCTCTGCCATTCAGTTCTGCTCTAAATTGGCCTTCGTACATAAAGAATGCTTCTTTTGTAACCTTAGCACCATCTCCCAACCAGTGACTTCTGTACCAGTAAAAATACTCAAGCAATTGCTCTGTAGCTGTCAAATGTATTCCCAAGAGAATCCGCTTCCCAAGAGAGGAAGATTATGATTTTCAGTGACATTTTGTGCTAATCACTGAACAGTCACTGAAAAGGAAGCCAGCTCACCCTTGTCCTTAGCCCTTACCCTTCCATTGCTGTCCTTCAAGTCATCATCACTGAGAAAGCAAGGGTTCACGAGATGATCCATCTCCTTGGCCTGGCTGAGTGGGAGGCCATTTAACAGGGGCATAGGTTCACATAAATGTCCAGCAGACTTTGTGCCATCAACAACACGATGCTGGAGAGCAGGCAAGACAGGTTCCAGAGTCTGGAGCTCTGATAAGACATGGATATAGATTGTGTATGAGAACAGCAAGGAACATAATACCTCTCCAAACAGATGGGGTATAGCATATTGCACTGGCAGCAGAAATTACATTACTCTGTCAGCCATCAGTCTCAAACCTACTGCATGATAAAGGTCTCAGCCCTTGGCTTCTGGTGAGCAGCTATGTTTGACAGAGAAGAGCACAGAGATGGAGATTGCCCTTGCCAGAAAGATTCTTATGTGTTCCTATCCATTTTGATGTTAATAAACATCCTCTTTTCTCCAGTTACTAGAACTCCTGCTTTTTCATAGCTATATACCTTTGTAGAGGTAAGAATCAACATTTCCTCCTGGAATATTTTAGAGGGCATTTAAAGAAAAGCTTAGGATGGCTAGAGTGTTACCAAAACCAGAATTGTGTTCTTGAACCTAGATAATTCATTTTCCCCAAGGAGTTGCATTCTAAATTGTAGCAGACCAGCCCACTTTCTGGGCAGCCTGGCTAAAGGCTGATTTTCTTAACGGGAATAGCATAGTGCAGCTCATTCTGAAATACTCTTCAATAGAGCTGTTAAAACTCAGAGAGCTAATCATTCCTTACATGGCTTCACAGATGATAAAATCATGCAACAGCAAAGCAGTAAAAAAAGAATAACTTTCTTAAATCGGGATTTTTTTCCCTGCAGAATGGTCAGGTCAATAATAGAGACAGAGATTGTTTAACGGTATAGCTCATTTCTAGTTCAGAATGTATCCAGCAAAAATGTCACCTTACTTACTCAGCAATACTTCTCTCTAGTTGCATTCAGCATACTAGCTGCATACCATCAATAAAGGAATCATTCCTATGGGGTGCGCCCATCATTTGGCAGAACTAACACTGAGCTGAGGGACCAGTGGATCTTACCCCTTTTTCTGCATGAGCAGAATTATTTGTTAGATTTTAATCTCTCCTATCATTACAAACCCACAGATGGCAAAGGGACAGCAACGGTGTCATTGAGGTTTACAACTTAAAAGTATTGGCTGAGACAGATACACCAGACACCGCGTTTTGTCTTGCAGAACTCTTATTGCTAGTGATAATGCAAGGTGGGGAGGGGAGAGAAGCCAGTAGGCAACTCCTACCCCAGCCTCAGTTGGCAATACTAACATAGCAGATAGAGCAGGGGAATGATTTGTAATCATAAACCTAGCATATCTGGTTTGAGGTAAATGAGTTGCACAAAGGAAAACTCACTTTACTTTTCACTTTACAGCATTTAATTTAGGCTTGTGCTTTAAGAGGATGGAAAGCTCAGATCCTGCATAGGCTGGATCCTTTTTTAAATCTTTTTTCCTGTTAAAAAATTTCCCTGTAAATAGAAAATTCACAAGGACTTCCTACCACACAAGGTTTCACTATTTCTCCCAGTGCAAAAATAGGCAATGTTGATGAACCTACTTAGGATCTCAAAGGGTTCGGTTCAGAAACTGCTCCAAGGGAAGGTTTTCTCCTTCAAGTGTAGGAGGAAGGAGTGGGAACATTTCTCACTTCATAAAAAATGCCTCATTTTTCTCTAATCTTTGTGACATTAGAGAGCATGCAGGGAGATAAAAGGTATGAGCATGAGGCAGAGGAATGTTTTCTTTTCCTGCTATGCATTTCTGGGGCCCCAGCGTACCCCTCCAGCTCCTGCTGGTTCATAACCCCATGATGGAGTCATTTTCACCAGACCACATTTCACAGTGACTGGGCTCTGAGGGAGCCATCTGAGCACATCAAGGAACTGAAAAAAAGTTACAGGATGGTTTTCAACCAAACTTTCATATTGCCACCCATGGGTCAGGATTCCTGTGGTCATTTTAGGACAGCCATGCCCTGTACCTACCTAGATTTTTAAGGGTCTTCTCTTCACTTCTGCTGCTTGGTCTTCTTGGCCTTAAGAAAAGTGAGGATAAAAGAATATATGAGGAGATAAAAAGAGAAGGGAGGGTAGCATTAAAGGAGGCAAACTTTCTTAGCATGGTCATTGTGATGAAGGAGGAAATGCAACCCATAAACCCAACAATATGCAAAGCTGATTAATTGCCATTAAACTTTCAGTTGCTGGAGTCACACAGAGCTCATCGAGCTCCAGCTGAAACACAGGAGTCATTCTTCAATTTTGGCCTTAACTATCCAATTCTGCTGTCTCTCCATTTGGACCTAAGTGGCTCTCACTGTTACATACATCCTTTCTGAATCAGCAAGAGTTGTTAAGCCAGTCATAAGTCTGTATTGAGGGCAGCTACGTTTACACTGCTGCAGAAGCCTAACTTCGCCTGGTGGTGACTTCAACAGATGACAGTATCTTGTTACACATGGTAACAGACCACTGCTGTCTCCTGAGAATATTATACCTCCCTGCTCTTTCAAGAAGAAAAAGGGTTTTTCCACCTCAGCTGGTAGGTAGGTATATTCAGATTGCACTTTAAAAGCCATGCTGAAGCTTTTAAGTTGGAACTATATTTCTATGACTCCTTATTTATTGTTATAACTAGGATAAGGTTGACAGCTAGATTTCCCCATGCATATCCAAGCAAATATCTTTCCTCAGTTACAGCCCTATAACTGTTCTCTAGCACCTTGCCCCCTTTGATCTTAAAACCATATGTAAATATTAAACATCTATAGGATGATACATCTACAAATCGAGATTTATCTGGGCTTCATTTCACAGTGAAGGCCCAGACACAGAGAAGTTACAACCAACATTGACAGAAGCAGCATCTGAATTTGCAGATAGCTATACAATAGCCAATATTTGCCCTAACATATTCTTGCAGGTACAGAAATTGGCAGTCAAAGGTCACACACAAAACCAGATGCTCTATTCAGATCCATGCAATACAGTTCCCAAATGGCACCGCAAAGATTACAGAATTAGTCGATATCAGTGTCCAGCAGCAGACCTGCTTTTAAGGTCATTTTAAGTCCTGCCTCCTCCTCCCCCCCAGCCACCCCTGCTTTTAGAGTGTATGATGTTGGTTTTGACATTGTGCTGGATCATCATGGATATGCAAAATGGTGAATGAACAGAAGTTTGCATAAATATATTGGAGAGCTGCCTGTGGAAAATAACCTCACAAGACAAGAAATGCGAGGTGAATGGCACATTGGAGAAGCAGACACTTTGGCTTACCTCATCTCCAGGGTCTCGTGGAAAACCAGGTGCTGAGCACTTGGGAGAGGCACTGCAGCGCTACCAGGATCCCGATCAGATGGTCTGGCTGACTTGGGGATAGGAGGAAGCAAAGCTACTCCCAGTGACTTCTTCCCATCCCCACCACTGCAATACAAGGGCAGCTCGGAAGCCTGGAAATAGTAGAACACAGTGCTCAGCTCAAGCATCCAGCCTTCCCCCTTTGGTGCCACAAGAAGTTTAGCCATGCTCTTAGCTACAACTTGGCAGGAAAAGTCAAACTGATGGAGCATCTTGGCCTAGGATGGGCAATGGAAAGGGAAGTGGTGAGGGAGAGACTGTCGTACACTGTTGCCAGCTCTCTTCCCTCGTTCACCTCTCTGACAGTGGCTGCACTCCCACCTGGCATCCATCTGCTTGGCATAAGGGTGTTCTGGGGTGTTGCTGCCTCTGTTAGCCTTTCTGATAGTACAGGAACCTCTTAGGTCACTGTCCTCTCACTGCCCCTAAAGCGCCTACCAGCCACTACTGAGCTCCAAGTCCCCACAAAGCCATTTTGCACACTGAAAAAACCTGCTTTTCTCAAGCCCATAATTTTTTCTGCTTCTGCCCTTCCTACGGTCCCCCACCAGCCTTTCGGCCCAGATGCTAATGTGCTCTCTGGATGCTCGGTGCTCTCCAGCTCCTACACAATTCATCATCTCAGGCTTACTGTCATTTATCAAGTTCAGCAGAGCTCCCTATCCTGCTGTTCTGTGTAAGATCTCTTTGCCTGCTGAAATGACTAAGGCTCCCCATGCTATGTCTAGGAAGGGGGATGGACGGAGTGGGGGCAGATGCACACCCTTCTTTAGTATCCTATCGTTCTTGTCACAACTAAAGAGCCAAATCAGGACCTGTTCAAATTCCAATCAAACCAACAGAGTTAATGTCAGGGATACATTTGACCCTGTATCTGCAAGGCAGAAATCAAGTACGGTAGCCTTTTATTGGTTATCCTGTTTGCAAAAGCTATTATTCATCTGTCTTCTCTTACCCACCATAGCAAAACCAAAACAACTGCAGCTTCTGTTGCACCTACAAAAGCAATCAAGTGGATGGGGTCTGGACTCCATTCCCCATGGCCAGAATTGCCAGATGAAGCTGCACAGGGGCTGCTGAAGTCTAGGAATATTATTAGAGATAACTGTGCTGAAGGACATGGCTGTACAATTCAAAAGCGAAGTTGAGTTTGCAGGACCGCCTGCTCCATCAAACACCTTTTTCCATCTAAACCATAGAGCTGATATAAAAAGCCACCAAGACACTGGTGTGTCTGCAACAGTAACCACAACGTACAGATGATTCACAGATACATGTATTTTACTAACTGCAGAAGGATAAGCTTGACCAGATTAGACACGTTTAGTTGCTCTGACTGGTTGCTGTTGTTTTCTCAGTCATAAAACACAGCAGGAGCCACCAGAGAGCACAGAAACTATTTAAAGACCTCTTCTCCTACTGATATTTGCTGAGGACATGAAGTCTGCAGTACGCATGTTGCAAAGACAGCCTGAAGGGCAATGTCCAGCTGAACTCTTCCTTGGCTCAGCTGCTTCCCTGGGCTCATACCACAGGGAAAGAAGATGTCAGAGCTCTGCCTACAGGAAATAAACTGAGGATCCACCACACATGATTTGGCTTGCTTTCCTTATTTTATATCCTTTTACCTCTGACATCAGCTCCTTGTTATTCCCATCACTGTCAACACAGCCTATGCTGTTTTCCCCATGCTCCTGCTCTCCGTTGCTCATCCTGCTGGGCTCTGAGGAAGGAAGGCTGTTCTGGATGGGAGGCACAGGCCTGGAGGTTACCAGGAGCCTCTGGGAAGCTGAGCTGGAAAATACTGTCTTCAGGGTAACCCCCTTAGGGTCACCGCAGTCAGTCAGACCTGCAAAGCAGAGACATAAACCATAATAGAAACAGCACTGCAAACCCAAAGCACCTAAAGCTAGATATTTCTTTGGAGAGATCTCTTGGAAACTTCTAAATAACTGCATGGGGAAACATGCTCATGCTGGCAGCCACTTGAAGCAGTGGACAAGCACACCCTGGTGCTCTGAGCTCCCATCAGGCAACAGGGAGCCCACAGACCTGTGCTTACCCAGAATAAATTGCCTGCACATACACCCTCCTGCTCCTCCCCCCACCCCACAGTTATACACCCCTACAACAGGAAGGCTATGGAAGGAACTAAGAGCAGGGCAGGTTAGCGCAGGGGAGCAGATGTAGGGGAGAATATTCACTGGGAATGTGTGCTAGCACTCTAGTCTGGGAAAAGACCCTTCTTCCCTCAGGAGAGTGAGCAGGCTCCCACCTTACCTCTCTGTGAGGTTAGCAGCCCCTCAGACATCCTCCTTGTCTTCAGCTTGTCCTTGATCGGAATGATTTCCGGGGCAGCAAACCTCACCTCCCTTTCTCGAGGGTCCCGGGTCAAGGCTCGACGAGAAAGGTGGGAGAGATCACCTCCATCCCTAGTGCTGAGGTCATGCACACTAGCCTTGGTGGCCCAGCCATCTGAGGGAGAGGTGTCCCTTGGGGATGGAGATCTCCTATCTCCATCCCCATCCCATAAACTCGTCTGCTTCTTCAAATGCATTGTTAATATGGACTGAAAAGAAGCTGTAGATCAGGCAAAAGTGAAGAAGTGTGTTAGTTGACCTCACACCTTTATGACCAACCCATCTATTGAGTCATTCAAAGTTTTTTTTAATCATTCAGAAGATCATTCAATTCACTTTGGTTTTATTTTTCATAAAACTAGCATGAGTTTAATTCTTCTGAACAGCATTGAACTAGCAAGCCAGGAGAGAGAGGTTGAAGGCCCCACTGCTAAGAGGGGAAAAAAGATTCCCATTTCAGGACTTGGGTTTTGTAAAGACTACCAGTAAAGACCCACACAGTGCTACTGGTATTTCTGGAAAGCAGAAAGACGTCTCATCAAGCAGGCAAACCTTGCCAGTGTTTCTACAGCACCATCCCATCCTCAAGGTCAGATCTGATGGACAAGCAGAGGAAGAACTGGGAATTTACCTATGGTGAGATCACACACTGATAGCAAGGATAGAAACAGAACAGAAACATCTCATTACCATGCCCAATTTATGGCCAGGTAGGCCACAGTCCCTGTCCTGGCTGGCAGTAGTAGTGATTTAGCTACTGTTGATAAAGGAGAAAGCACAATGAACTAATGATAGAGAGATGTGATGCCCTGTGCACCACTGGAGGAGGGCAGGATCATCTGCAGCTCTCTGTCAACCACCTACTCTGACACAGAGCCAGCACATGAGGACTGACCTCCAAGGACCATTTCTCCCTGAAATCAGGGGTTTGGTTTTTTCACTTGGCTGAGGCCACCATTGCATATTCAACCCCTTTCCATCCTCACCTTCTTCTTCAGCGGTCCAGCTGCTGCCACAAAACTGCAAGTTCGAATCAATGCTTCCACCTCGCAGAGCTGTGTATCGGGGTTTGAATTTGGGAATGCTCCCACAGTAGACAGCAACTGGGGCATGGTACTTAGCTTTAAAATAAGGACAGTGCAAATGACTCAAATTTACAGCATTTGATATGGAGAGGAAAAAACAAACATCCCTTCTCCACAGAAGAGTATCACACCAGTAGTGACCTGCAGTCCTGGCTCCTGCACAGGTCTGCCTGACCTCACACGATTCCGCTTGGTGAGGCGCTTGCATTCCAGAACTTTGACAGCTGAACATTCTACAAATTTGCATGTGTTTTGCTAGTTGCCCATCCATGACTACAGGATTTCTTTCCTCTCCTTTCAAAGGGTAGGCAACCCACAATGGTCCCTAGAATTTGACAATGCCTAGTAAGTAGATGTTTTCCAAAGCTATTTTGAAAGTCCTTTGTTTCTGTAATTCCCACTCAATTTTGGGTTGGATTTTGTTGGGTTTTTTATTTCTCTTCACAAGAAAGAGAAAGTATGAGGACACAAACAATTAATCACCAGGTCTTGTAACTAAAAGAAGGTTTGCACTCTGTATTAGATGTCCCCGATATTCAGTGGGCTTATTTTATTACTATATCTGTAGGATGCAAATTGTCCATCCAAACATCCTCCTTTGTTCTGCTTCACTGTTACAGGGGTTTATTCCCTGCTTTCTTTACTGCAGAGACACCCAAAACCAACATAAACGTGACCTGCCTCAAAAAAATTCTGATCTTGGCAGTTCCTGAAAATTCAAAATTATACACAGCGTGTTTCCCTGCCCCTTGTCCTGGCCAATATCTTCCCCATTACCCTGTCTCTAAGGCTGGGCTCTCACTTGTACAGCATGAAGAATAGCTGCTGCACTTGCCAGCATCTCCAGGGTCTCGTGATCAGTGCTTTGAATGCAGCTTTTGTACACACTCTGCCTCCCTGAGCCGGGCAGCATTCCTCGGCACCAGCACTGCTGTTGCAGACGAACATCCTCCAGGCAAAGGCTGCAGGAACAGGATTGCAACAAGCCCTGGCTGAAGAAGTCTCCAGTCTGCCGCAGCCCTTTACCTGCTGCGAAATCATCTTGTGTTGCCATGGTGGAGGGAGGGCAATGAGCTCTTTGCAGATGAGAGTCTACTTGATGTGCTGCTGGTCGCTGGGCCTGACACAGATGCCAGGGGGGTCCCCCGCAGCATCAGGAGCCTGCATGGAAAAATAACACTGCTAGTGCCAGTGACAGCCACCGATCCCTGGCATTGCCCTGCCTACAGGGGTTCCTGTGTATGAAACTGTTCGAGTCAGGTGGTGTTAAAATAACATAAAAATATATTCAAGCTACGCATTTCCACATTCTGTCAAAATCATGGCCAGAAAGTCTAAATGCTGGAGGAAGACTGCCGTAACTCCACCTCTGCAGCTGCTCTCCCCATGGCTGAATGAGCACGGCAGCAGAGGCAAGTCTCCCACCGCGCCCACTGCTGTTGGACCCAGCGCAGCATGCTGGAGTTGTTCCCATTGAACTCAGCGCTGCCACTGCAGTAGGAGCATTGTTTCACATATTTGATAACAAAGAGCTGTAGTATCATACAACCAAAAAAAAATGGGGGGTTCCTTAAACATGTTAGCCCTTTTCTTATGGCCTAAGTAAGCAGGTAAGAGGGGATTTTGCAGAGCATACCTTAGGGTAAGAGGTCAGGATGGTAAGCCAGCAGCAAAATTCCTATAAATGTCAGTGAGTACAGAGGGATGCCAATGTCAACTGCTTTTGAAAATCAACTCATAGGTGCCTCTAAAGCTCTGCAAACAGACGACTATCACATGGTAGCTAAATGCGGCCAGAAGGATCAATCACAGACACAGTTCAGCTAAATTATTACTGAAGGAAAAATGCCTCTGCACTCAGTGGAAGAAGCAAAGGCATGTCCCTATTAATGTGTTCTGTAAGCTGAAAGCAAGTAACAAAGAATGCCGGTACAAGGACTTTGGGTGCCCTACTATCAATCAAACTTACAATCAGATAAAATGGTATCCTCAAGCAAATTTCAATAGAAATTGTTCATACTGCAGCAAGGCCCTGCACTGCTCCACCCCCTACCCAAGAGATTTAACTCTGTTCAAAAGCTGTCAAATCATTCATCTGGAGTAAAGCAAGTGATTTCAGAAAGGCTGGAGTTAGCTGAGAGTTAACCCACTTCTGGCTTTCACCCTTTTTGTTAATCTAGATAAATTCACAGAGACAGCTTAAGGTCAAGGAATGAAGGTGCTTAGAGGGTTTTTAGAGCCTAATTCCCATTACTTTCAATGAAAGTCAGGCACTAAATACTCTTAAAAATACGAATGTAGGTCTATTTGGACTGTGTACTTTAAAACAAGGAATGAAAGCATCAATGTGAGTGGGACTAGGCATAAAGCAGCAATTAACGTATATTTTCTTTGGTCTCATTGCATGGGATGAATATCTAAGAAATACGCCAGTGGCAATTTTGGCTGGTTAAGATCACCTCCTAAATGAAGCTGAGCATGACCCATTGCTTAAGGTATTAAAAATGCCCAAGACAAAGCAGTACCAGAAATGAGTGTATCCTGTAGCTAGGCTAGAAGGCTGCCTCCTACCACTGACTCACCCTGTAACAAAAGCCAGGCTCTCCATGCCTCATTTTTGTTCCTCTGCCAGGCTGTCCTACCTAAATGCTAGCAAGCTATAAATGGTAATTAGGAAGAGCATTACTTATGGTACCTCCACAGCCCCCAAAGTTTTAATTGCTTGAATTCAGGACATAGTTCCTAATTCAGGCCAGCTACATGATACGGAAACACCCAAATATACATCTGTGTAGGGCCACCCCTTTCTCCCTTGCTCTGAAACCACTATAACCAGACCAGTAATGGCAGAGCAATTTGCCTGCAGCCTGGGGGAAGTGCTGGATGTGCAGGATTCATCTTTTGCCACTTTAGATAGGAACATGGAAAACAATTTTGTGTACAGAGAAGAACAGTGGCAGTGGTTCACTGCTGAGTGAAAAAAAAGTGTTAGAAAATGGCTTTCTGAAGAGGAAAAAATGGAACACAGCTGCATTTGAACATCTCCAGGCCCCAGTGATGTTTTACTAGATAGTAACTGTACTCCTTGTCATCTTTCTGCTGGGTTAATCAAAAGGAAATGCATCCTCTGGGATTTTCAGCTTCTTTGGATCATTAACACCCAGTAAATGAAAACAGATATTATTTAATGCTATCATAACTTTCTTTCCCAACTAACAAGCTATTTCTCTGGTGGCTTCCCAGCACAGCAAACATACAGTATCTTCATGTGAAACATGCTGATGCCGGCAACCCTACAGAGCCCATCAGGACTGGAGCTGCTGTGGAGATTGAACCCAATATCTCACCAGCCAAAAGCTTGTTGGGAAGCTAAAAAGAAATTGGAGTGATGACAGTTGTTTGGGGGTTTTTTTGGCCAGTGGATTTCAGCTTACTAGGCCATAATGCTTCTGTAGCATGAAGTTTTTATGTAAAGTAAAAAGCCATCACCCAGTAGAACTGGGCAGTTTCCCCAGGCCTGTGGGAGAATCACAAGGCAGATCCACGTGCTACTAATTGCATTTCTCCTCACTTTTCTACGTTCTTGGTGTCAAAGCTGTTCAGGTTAGACACACAGCTCACACACATTGCTCCTGTATCTTTCTGCACAGCGACCCAAGTGACATTACACATCCAACATCTGTTTTCTCTTACCACTGAACTTACTGTTTTGAGGAATTTCTGAACCAACAAACTTGCTTCCTCAAATATTTACTGTGCATGGCAGGGAACACAGACAAAAGATATAACGTGAAAAGCATCACCCACGTGACGCTCTTTTTACAAGTTCTGCCCTCAGCTTTCATTTGGAAGATCTTAAAAGTTCAATGCCCCTATCAAAAGTTCCTGCAATGGCTGCTTCTCAGCAGAGCGGGACAGCTCAACCATGAAACAAGAGTTACCACAAGCAGCAGCTTACCCAGGGCAGCAAATCAAGAGTTAGGAATAAGCTGATCTGAATGCCAAGCCTCATTAGCTCCTTCAAAAAGCACTTGAACAATCCCTCATTCCAGCTCTAATGAGGTGTTGTGCTGGACACCACAGCTATTTGAGTACTGTACACAAGTATGCTCCCACTGAGCACTGCAACGGTCTCCATTGGAGCTGTGGTTAAGGGCAGTCGTTCCCCAAAGGTGGGTGATCGATTGCTCTGCGGGTTCCTGTGACTGCTGGACACAGTAAGACAAGAAAGAGCCAAGTACACTGAGGCACCTTTGCCTTGAGCATAACCCAGCCTGGACCAAAAGCGTTGACAGGTTTCCCCTCCTTATCGAGGCACTTTGAAGAAGACCCTGAACCTGTGAGATCCTGAGCCCATGCAGGTGTTTGCAGAGCACCTCGTGCAGAGAGGTCCTCGCCCTGAGCGGTCCCCCGGTGCTAATGCTGTATGAACATAAATTAGCTGACAACAGTAATGCTGTGGGGGCTAGCGCTAGAAAAAGCATGCAACTATCATCTGCTGCTTCTCTTCTGAGAGCAGGTCTTCATGGCACATAGGATTTTTGCCATGAAGGGCTCTACGAAAGGCTCTAGATGCCCAACACTCAAGGCTTGGGTACAGAAGCAGTCACAATCAGCACCTTGAACTAACATACCCTCAAGTTAAGTCCAACCAGTAGCCCATGTGTTAAAATGTTAGGCCGGCTGTTTGTCGGCTCATGGCAGTTTCTTGTAAAAGCATTTTCCTCAAAAATATTGGGCTCATCTTCCTTGGTGCCTTCCTCTCAGCGGCTCAGGGAGAGGGTTGTCCCACCCCATACCCCTGTGTGAAGCCATCCCAAAGGGCTACTAAAATACATTCCCTGACCAGTAGCTTTCTCCTGGTAGGGCCCTGCATACTGTTCCACACATCTTTCATAAAGGCACAAACCAACTTCAAGCACTCTTGACTATAGCAGATTTCCACAAACAGCTGCATAAATCCAACTCCAAGTGAGCATCCTAAGGGCTCTGTCCTGTTCCTGTGTAATCATCAGGCAGGGAAATTCTCAATGATCTGAACCAACTTCATTCAGCTGCAACATGGGATCCAAGTTTCATATTGAAATTTTTCATTATGAGTAACAAGCATTGGGAGCACAAGGTACAGGGCTGACATGAGAAAGCAGGAGCACATCCTCTAACAAGACCAGTTTAATTGTCCATTTTATTACCCTTATATCTGTTCCACTGAAGTCCCAGTACTGTTCTTAGTGCTGTGTGAACCTTGAAATACAACAGTTCCCACTGCTCAGAATTTATTCCCTGGTCTTTACAGTATTTAAGCACCTCTGTTTTGTTCAGGGCTTAAGTCCACCATTCAAGCATCACTGAAATATTTAAAGCCTCCATTCACCTAACCTACAAGGTATCACCTAACTCCACGAGCATTTAAATCCCTAGAGTGCCCAAGTGTCCATGGGCTGATGCCTGCTGAAGACAAGAGCTGTCTTCCATATGACCTGCTGCTCAGAACCCCACACCATGGTGCTCAGAGGGCCCAGCACAGGATCTTCAGTCAAGGTGGACAAAAGCCTATTTTCCAATCCCTACCAGCTGGCAGCATCTACCTTGGGTGAGCTAGAGGCCACTAAGAGGTAAAGCAGTAATAGGTTGTCTCTGCAACAAACTGCAATGCTTACAGGGAAGGGGACAAAAAACAGCTGCCGGACATGAACACAGAACACATAGAGCTGCCTGACAAAACCTTGCAATGATTTGGCTCACTGACCTGACAGCAAACACCACGTTTCCCAGCTGCCATCACTTCCAGCGTCCAAAAGTGAACAAAGCTGAAGAACGGTGTGAGAAGTGGAAGACTGCAGAAGCAGGGCTATATCTGCTGCCAATTCATTGCCTGGCCTGCAGAGAAATAGAAATATAAACCTTAAGGCCAGAAATATAAAACTTTAAAAGTTATAAAAGGCCAGAAAAAAGTTAGGAGCATATAAACGTGACCTCTGCAGGCCACAGATTTTGAATAAATCAACTTTAGTTTCTTACAGGTCAATATCTCCAACTGAAAAATGTAAGTGATGCTTGGAAGCTTTGCAAAGCTCTCAAAGGCCCTGGGGTGATGGATATTACACAAATATGAGTGGTTACCATTGCCATTACAGCAGCTGTCTCTGCAGCAGAGCCCCAGCTTGCTAAATTGTTAGGGGTGAGGGAGCATGGATATTATCATGAAGAAAGGGAAAGAAAAAAAGTGAAGCAAAGGCATTCTCTGCAGAGAGAGAAACAGAGGGGAAAAGTAACCAGCAAACACCTCTGATAATGAGCAAAGTCCCTGTATCTCAATCCTTCAGAGAGTTTGGTTTGTCCTCCTGCTGCTGCTGTAGCAGGCCAGCATCTCTGCACCCCGAAATAAATTCAAGATGCGTTAGACTGTGGATCTTCCCTCCTCATCCTCCTACATCTTTCCCAGATCCAATTTTCAGAGATACGTACTTCTAGTAATAAACCCCTTTGAAAACAGAGGCTAACCTGGAGGCAGGTTTGTTTGTCAGAGTGATACTGCTTTGGGACTAGGCATTTACATATCAGAGAGTCTGTGAGCTCACTGAAGTTTGCTTCTCCTCTCTTTGCTTCGAGTAAAATGATTCCACTTTTCCCCCACATCCTTTGGAGTGAGGTGCCAAGGTTAAACTCAGCGAAACACAGCAATTTAAACCATTGGCAAGAGCAGACTCGGTTACTATCCTGCAGGGATGAACCAGCACCCCCATGAGCCATTATAACACTGACCCTAACCTCAGCAGGGGCAGATTCAGAAAGTTGATTCAAGTTTGACCTTCCTTGATTCTACCTGGAAAATAACAGTGTGAGCCCAGGAAGGACCAAAGGTGCAGTATTTGGTTTTTAGCCCCAGTCAGTGCAAGAGGAATTTGAGCAGGAGCTGAGCGGGGACTTGTCTGTTTGCCCACACACAGCAGCAAAGGGAGCCCTGGGAGCCTGAGGGCAGCACCCGAGCCAAGGTGGGAGCTCTCACTCTGCCTCCCGTGGCATGGCAGAGGCCAGGCTGTCACTCTTCTTATGTAGAGGAGCTTCCCTGTCAACAAACTACCCCGTCTGCTCTGCAGCTCCTGCCTGTCCTTCTCTCCCCACCTTCCACCCAAAGCATTGCTCTTCCACACCTCCCAGGAATGTGTCTCTTTTAAATGACATCCACACACTCCTGCACACAGTTGGAGTCACCCAGCAGAAGCTTCCCTTGCATGGCTTTAAGACTTTTCAGAACAACTTTTTGTAAAGAGAAAAATAAAAGGAAAAATCATCAAATCTTTCTCCCAGATTTTATCGGCTTCTGGAAGAAATGCTTGCACCAAGCAACCTCCACCAAAGCACGGTAAAAGCAACCCCTCTGCCTGGCCCTTGCCAGCCCCCACTGGAGCACCACCTTGCTGACAACGCAACAGCACACAAGACAGGGCTATCCACCAACCTCCTTCACAAGCACGCGTGTCCTTCACTTTGGAAATCTAGCTCCACGTTGTTAAGCTTGTAATTCCCCCAGGAGCAGTAAAGCCCTGCTGTGGGTTGCCTGCCACAAGGGAACAAGGATTTCTTCTGCTCCAGACCCTCTGTTTCCAAAACCGGAAGCAGGGACAACCATTTTTCAAGCTGGACCCCTTCTCCAGGAAGACAGCAGGCTCCCCTTTCCAGGTGTACGAACTCAGCAAGCAAACAGTGTCACATACCAGGAATAAACAAGGCTGCATAGCAACCACTTCTCTGAAGAAATCTTGAGCACGAGATAGAAGGGATATCTTTTGCCTGCAGGGCTGGCAGGCAGCTCCCTGGGTGCTGTCGCCACAAGCACCAGAGGGACCTCAGCAGCACCCAGACCTTCAGGCAGGGACACACTCTGAACAGCAACATGCTCCCAGTCCCTCCCTGCCTGCTCGTGACCACTGCATGAGAATTGTCCCTAAAGCTGTGCACAACGTGCAAGCAAACACTGGAAACTTATAAAAGGGAGGGGAAAGTTTCCACCCCCTTCACTGTAGGATTTGATGACATCTCTGCATGTTAAATTGCTTAGCTAGCAGAGCTTGGAGCCCCTCTCAGTTAGATCAGTGTAAATCCATACCAGCCCTACAGAAAGCGCCACGCTCAGGCAAGATTAGGAAAAGAACTAATTCCTTCAGCCTGGCCCTCTCCAGTGTAGCGTAGCCACAGTTGCTGCACTCTCCACTAAATGATGCCAAACTGGAATTCTCCACCACCCCCATTACAAATATTTTATACCTTTTCCCTGTGCTGTGGATAATTATGTAATATGCAATGCAGAGCAGAAATTTAGCTTTGCTACTGCATGTGTTTTGTTGTTGTTATGCTCAAAGGCTACTTTCAAATATAAAAATAATAATATTTTCACCGTTTCCATGTCTAGTTTGGAAATCTTCCATAACAAGGTCACTGATGGCTGTTTTAATAAACACTCGTGTACACAAAAAGAGAGAGAAATGCTGTGCAGCAGTGGAAGGGCTCACATGAGGTTCTCTGTTAACCATGAGGAACAGCAGGTCAATCTGTTTGTACAATGATTTGGATGAAGAGTGTCCACATGAGTGCTACGAGAAAAGGAATTCAGACACTAAGCAGTGCGCCCTGAGCCACTGTACCCAACCTGCAAGCCAACAGATAACTGGGAAGGGGGTCTTTAGCTGTAAAAATATGCAATAATTCAGCTCCTACAGGGAAAAAAACCCACAGAAAACCATCTGCAGGAATTAGCAATCCTTCTCCAACTAGCCAAGGCAGCACATGCACCCTGTTGTGATTTGGGGAGGTGACTGTCACCTCACTTGGTAAAAGCAGCTGCAAAGCCAAAGGGAAGCATCTTTCTATCACTGCTGAGCCACCCCGTTGGTACTGGCGCTGTAGGAGTAAAGGATTCAGCCTTTCAGTGAGTCACCTCAAACCACGCAATTCTTCTCTCAGCTTCTCCAAGGCTGAGTAATCAGATATGTGAGAAAATAACAACCCTGTATATCGCAGAATGGCAGAAAATGAGCTGACTGCAGCAAATGGGTCTCCAAATCTCACATCCCCTGCGTGAAACAGGAGGACTCTCCCCAAAAGCTTCTCCCTTTTGCTACGAACAAGAGGCAGAGGACTGCCCTCAGATTCCAGCACTGCTTTAGACCTTAGGAGACACAAGGAAAATTCTGCCTCAGCCGTGTTGCAGGCTTCAGGGAAGACTAATCTGCTCCAGCTCCTGCCTGCAAAACAAGCATAGCAGAAATGCTGCTTGTTCACCTTTCTCCATATTTTAAGGCAATAAACCCTCTAAGGTAGGGAGTTGTCCCTACCTACATGTGTGAGCATCATCTAAGAGAGCTGGTCCAACTGTCAGCTAGGGACGTTACCATAAAATAGTGGTGGCAATAGCTCTTCAAAGGGCTTTCCCTGATACAGTGTTCAGTTGTTCCCTTTAATGAAGGGGCCAGCAACAAGCTACCAGCTCAGCCCTAGTGAAAAAGTTATGCTCCTGCATGTCAAAAAATGAGCACTTCTATAGGGAAACAGCATTAACAGCACTGAACAGTGTGAACCTTGTTAAATCACCAAAAGTGACATAAGTAAAGATGGTCAGCTGGTCAGACCTAGACCACCCGGGAGCATCTAATGTCCAGTCTCCCTCTGTAAGCGCCTGCTCATACTCTCTTTTCTTTTGGCTCAGTAATACCAGCTTTGGCTGATGGGACAGATTCAACCAAAGAAAAACTTGAAAGCCTACATGCTTAGCCTTAAAAACAGTAAGCCAAAGTTTTATTTCATCTTTTCTAAAAGGAGGGAAAAAAACGCAACCATAATTGGGGGACAAAGTACCTTCCTTCCTGAGCCTAACTTGTGTCAGACCCACTTCAGCTCCAGCAGCGTCACCCATGTGGCCATGCTCTTATGTCACCTGCACACCCTGTAGTGATGCATTACATTACACGGGGAAGGAGCTGTGTCCATGTGCTCATATGCATCCTGGAAATGAACCTGGTGATGGCTATCACACGATTCCTTGAGACAGCCATGGGATAAACCTTGCTAGGAGGTCAAACCCTCTCTCTCATCCATCCATAGCACCCCAAGCACCTCCACCAGTCCCCCTGACAGAACAGTCCAATCATCCCTCACAAGTTAACAAAAAAATTGCCTTGAAATCCTCTTTCTCTAGACATAAAGCATGGCCTCTCTATTTCAACAAACACACCTTGGACTTATTTGGCTAAATCTCCGCACTCTGCTTTGAAGCCTCAGGGCACCACAGGCAGGAGTGCAGGGCTGAGCAGGGCTTTTCCCCCCTTCCTCTGCAGGGATGGAAATTATGCCACTTTACATGCTTGTATCCAGGAACCTGCTCAGCTGTTCCTCTCAGCTCATTTTCTTTCACATGGCATGCTTGCTGAGCAGCACGGCCCTTCGTGGCAGCCTCCTTGTTCACAGGAACCTCTGCCGGACTGGGAGCCCTTGGGCTTTCCCCATGGTAACCTCGATGTGTGTTGGGCAAGGGTGATTGATACTGTGTGGCATCCAAGCCTGCGAGGGAAACTGCTCAAGCGCAGAGAGTAAATGTTAATTAGAGCCCAGCAGACAGTCTGGAGCTGGTGAGCTTATACAGACCTTTAAAAAATGTTCATTTTTATCAATCCTGAATTCACAGCAGTAGGAAAAGACAGAAAAAAGTACAGATGCTGCTGTACCTGCCTTTCTCCATCTGCCTGTTTTGCCCAGCCCTGAGGAACATCGAGACCTCCCTGGCTTTTCGTTATTCATTAGACACTGTCCCCTAATCAGCAGGGTCCTGAGGGCTTTGGGAGGGATATACCACCTTCTACAACCCTTCCTCCACCAAGTATTGTCATAAAGAATAAATCAAATTATCCAAGAAGTGACAAGAGAATTGTGCAGGGCATGCACCTCAATGCCGTGAAAGGCAAGCAGAGAGGAACTGTTAAGATACAAAAAAACCCCCAACCTGCGGCTTCAGCATCTATGTTTTCAGAAATCTCTGCTGCAGTGGAAGACTTCCACACCACTGCATACTGAGGCCAATGCCTGAAACAAAAATCTCAGAAAAACAGTGCTTCTGTTTCCTTAGAGGAGATGTGAACAAAGCTCATGGAAGAAAATGGGAAATGAAATGACAACTTTACACCTTGAAGCATAAACACACAGACTCAGAAACACTAAGATCAGGGAAAATTATGACAATAACACTTTGGATTCACAATTATATTGCAGCTTCCCTCTGATGAGCCCAGAGCAGTTTGCATTGCCACAGTGGCACTTAACACCCCTTCATGAGGTGACTCAAGCAGTGTTAAAATACACTGGGAAACTGAGGCAGGCAAAAGAGGTCCAAATATCACTTAGGGCCTTGGAGTAAACAAATTGGAGTGAGACCAGCAAAACACAGCTTTTCTTGATCAATCTAGTGACAACTTTTTGTGGCAGGGTAACAATTGGGATTGGGTCATTTGGGGGAAAAATTCTTGAGGTGTTTCAAAAAGCAGTCTAAAACAGTGTAGGGCTTAAGGGCACTATTCTCATTTACAGAGTTTTATTTATTTTATTTTCTTCTATTATTTATTAAGAGCTGCCAGCTAAGCATTGTCAGAGCTTTACATGTGGGGACCAAGGGCTTTCAGACTGATGGATAGAGTATCCTGACTACAGTTTGCCAAATTTTTTTGATGGAGAACACAATGATTCCACAAAATTGATGTGATCTGTGAAAACATGCTTGTTTCAACTGTTTCTGTGAAAAAGTAAGTTTTAGACCTGAACATCTGATATTTTTTTCTCAAATTCTTCCATGAAATTATAAAGTTATCTCCATTCTGAGTAACCCTAATTCTACGCAATGAAAACCTACCTACCACCTACCTCAGACACATTTCCAGATCAGGCCCTGATGAGACAAGAGCCTATTTCCAGTGCTTCTTCAATATAGCAGTGGAATAGAAATTGCTGTATGCCTGGGAAGTCATAGAGAATATTTTAACTTCTATAAGGGTTGATAAAAGGACTTCAGGATGCTACCTGGACACTCATGATACAAAGGGATGCAGGCTAAGAAACTTTGAGCTGCAAGTGTGCCCTAGAGGACAAGGACAAGGTGTCCCAAATACTCAAGCACATCATAGCGCCAGTCCCCAAAGAGGACCCACAAACTGGAACAGAGGCCTCCATGAAGCAGCAGAAAACCAGCCCAGCTTAAGGTTCCCCAGAGCCCCTCTAACACCCTCTTGTGATCCAGGGCACTGTATACGCACTGGGCTTTGCTACCTAATTCATTCAGGGTCATGTGGTTCTAAACTAAGGCTGCTTGGTTCCCCATGTTGCTAATCTAGTTAACTGCATATTAGCTAATTGCAGGTTTTAACTTTCTGCCAAGTGCAGTATCTTGCCGTCTGTTTGCTCTGGCTACCTGAAGAGTCAGCAGCCTGTACCTCATCTGGGGACGCCGAGAAACCAGCTGCTAGCGCCTGCTGTCTAGTGCAAGTCTGAGTTTCATTTGCTTTACCATAAAAGAGCTACTATTATATAATGGAGGGGGTGGCGGGGGGGGGACACGACACATAACAAAACCAAAAGCCAATCATTACCTCAGGACCCCCTTTGCAAACACAAAGTCTGGGGGCAGATGGGCACAGGAAAAACAAACAAACAAAAAAAACCAACAAAAAAAAAAGACCCTGCCAGTGAGGCAGTTTGCTAACCCAGTGTATGCAAATACACGAGTTCTCATGTTCCTGAGGGTTAGATATGACTCAAAAGGCCAAAGTCTTCTCATCAAGTTTATCAGAATTTAGCCCAAATAATTTTGAAAACCGAACCCAGATGCTATGGTTTTTACTGAATGTTCAGTCTCCTAAACATCAACATGGATACCTGTCTGTTGGAGGCAGACCTGAGCTGGTGCACCTCTGAGGGGGTAGGCAAAGTCCATTAGCTCAACCAACACTGCACCGTGGAGCACGATTACAGAGCAACACGCGGTGCTAACTGCAGCCCTGCTACACCCACTCTGCTGCCTTGAAGTGCAACTGCAGGGGTTACAGGCCCTCATGACTTGCTTTTAAGTGCTTCAGTGAGCTACTGTACACAGCGAGGCAGCTGCACAACATCAAAGCTGCACAAAAAATAAAACACTTTCCCACACCACCACATTAAAGCCAAGGCAAGAACCACGAATGGAGCCCCAGTGATGCAGAGTTCAGTCCTCAGACTTTAAAATCCCTCTGCTCCTACAGAAAGGTTAGTTGCGCTTGTCCCAAGAACTGCATTTTTCCCCTGAACACCACTCATCTGCTGAGCAGAAAAATCCGTTGGCACGGTTTGGGGTGTGGGGCTGAGGCTTCAGGACTGCATTTCTGATTTGAAGGGCTCACGAAGATTACAAGCAGGGAACACACAATGTCAGAACCTGTAAAACAACAGGTACGTTCATGGTAACAGAGACAGGCCACCATGGACATGAAGGATGAAGGTGCAGGGTAGGCATGTTTAGAAGCTCATGTTTTTCCACATGTTTTACCAGGTGGCAGCCACCAAACCGCATTTGGGATGCTGGACCTGCTAAACGCTCTCGGGTTCTCCCATAGCGCAGCATGGGTCAGACAGCAGCCAGCCTTGAATTCAATGGGAAAGTGACACAGAGAAGCAGAGCTGTTTCTTTGCTTTAAGTCTTACAAACAGCTGGAAAAGATCTTGCTTCTGAAAGAGGAAAAAGTATGATCATTTGGATGGAAAAATAAAAGTGCTAGCAGATGAAAAGATTTGTTCAGGCTACTGAGCATCCATGTAATAAAGATGATGGAGACTTGAATTAGTGATAGAGACAAGCGAAATTAGGCCTGCAACTCATTTTACCTGCCATCAACTTTGAAGACGTCCTGAAAAACACTTTCAGCTTCCATCAATCCCTGATAAGAGCTTGGCAAAGTGCATACCACGAGCTGGAGGATACCCAGACTCACAGGCAGGTAACAGCCTCTCTCACACAGATGGTGACGTAAGAGCTTCTTCCTCACTCTCCTGTACTGGAGGACGTCGTGACAAAATAAACACAGAGACGAGATGCGATGAGGAAGCACTCCATTTCCTTGTTAACGGCTTTCCATTCAAATCCTCTACGGCTCCAGAAATTAGCTGCCTGAGCACTACAGAAAAGAAAAATAGTCATGGGCTGGTGGATTTTTCTCAAAAAAAAAAAAAAAAAAAAAAAAAACCACCACACCAAACTCGAGGTATTTACAGACCATGATGAAATAATGGAGAAGACTGCAGTGGTAGATGGATATATTCCTCTTTTCATCTTCACTATTTTAAACAAAAACTTCACTATTTTAAACAAAAACACCACCTGTGCTGGTGGAGAAAAAAATAGTTGTATGGCTACCTTGAATTTAACTTGTGTGAAAGGGGTGGCGGGTTTGGGGTTTTTTTGTTTGTTTCATTTATATAGCTGCTGCTGAAATGAAATTGTGTAGGGTGCAGTTAGTTCTGCCTCCTTTTCCCTTCATTGAACCTGCTGGGGGGGGAAATAGTAGGAATTAGAGGACCAAGCCTGACCCTGCTGAAATCAAACAGCTGCCGTGCCCAGCCCGTGGACGTTTTGAGAAACGTCTCCTCTTCTGAATCGCGTTATCCCTGTCAGTCTTGGGGAGAAAATTATTTCCAGTCACTAGCCCGCAGCAGACAATAATAACAAATGAAAAATAGCCAAGCTATCATTTACACTAGATGCCAGAAATGAACTATGGGGGAATTCTGCGGGCACAGCGCATCAGTAGGAGAACTGAGGAGGAACGGCATTGCCCCTGCCTGCTCCAAGGCGGTGGCAGCACGGTAGGAACAGCTCATTTAGCAGACAGCCCTTTTTCATCAAGCTGGTAGCTGTGCAATGAGCGTTTTGTGTGAAGCAGAGTTTGCTCACGAAAAGAGGCAAACAACGAGCGTATTGAAATGCCATAAATCCCATGTTGGCAGAGCTTGAGGCAATTCAAGCCTCCATGCAAAATTAGGCCTCATGACTGCACCTAGAGGCAGGCAGGTAATTGAAACATCAGTATACCTAGAAGAGACCACATGAGTACCAAAAAAAGAATTTGGAGGCAGGAAGAAAAACTTCATGCGGATCTAGCGCCTAGGTAGAGGTGACTGCTAACCAGTTTGTGGATCCCAAGCCAGCCACTCCTCAAGGCCCTGCAAAGTAGATCCCACATGGCCTCACAAAGAGCAAGGGTCAGCTGCAAAACTGGGTGCTGTGTTCTGCAGTGCATATATACCTTCTCATATCCTCTCTGCACTCCAACTGCAACAGTATGTTCTTCACAGCATCTTGTTGACAGTCTTGCCCAGCTACACTTGCAAGCTTGCTCAGGCTGGAGATCCTTTCTGCGGTGTTTTCCTCAGGAACAAGGGAAGTTCAGCAGCACGTGCTTTGCCTCCACCACGCATTTTTCTGCAAGAAACTCTAGGCATTCAGCCACAAATAAGAAAGCATTTTGCTAAACTAGCCAAGTAGAATTATCCCTTCTTTACAGATGGGGAAACTGAGGCACAGAGCTTGGAAATACAAGTTTTAAGCCTTGATGGTCCCTGGTTTACCATCGCTCAGTCCTGGGATACTTTGGATACCACTGTGATAGCTTCAGCTGCTAAGGAAACAAATCTCTTTCCATACACCTTACTCACGCTGTGTCATTCAATTCCTCATCTCAGTGAGAGCAATTATATTGGCGGTTTCACCATTACCTTAAAGCAAAGCCAGGACTTCACCATCTTTCTCAAACATAAAACTCCATCATCTAGTACACAATGTTTTCAGAAAATTTAGCAAGGCTTTTTATAAGACATGTTGCCTCTCAAGAAACGAGAGGACTAAAAGCTGAGCTTCCCGCAGGGAATAGCTTTGTGCTCTGCTGTGGGGCATCAAGTGCTGCTCCGTATCAACATGCGCATGTCTTAACGCCACATTTGATGATTTCTGAGCAGTTACTGAAAAACAGTAAGGGGTTCCATTGTTTGTACCTATGAGTAGCAAGATAAGCGCCCAAACAAAGAAGTGTCCTTGAAATCTGGGTCTAATGGCAAGCTTAACACTGTGACAGGCTCAGCTGGAGGCTCAGGCAGGGTCATTTTCCTCTCTACAGCTGTCAAATATCTCTGGGTCTGTGGGGCAAACGTGGACCATAAAATTATAATAAGCCCTAGGACTGATTGATTCTGGCTGCTCAAGTTTTTGGGGTTTGGGTGTGTTTTGGGTTTTTTTTTTTTTTAACCATATGAACCACAGGAAACCATGAGAAGAGATGACAGTTTATGTCTTATTTCATTTCCATCAGTGCTAATAGCAAACCTGTAACTGATTTTAAATGTCAGGGAAAAAACCTTCAGCATGCAGACTAAAAGACGGAATAAAGCTTCTTTATGTAGCCTGTTGTCTGTGCATTTTTTAAAAGATGCAATAAAAACCTTCACTGGAAATTTATTCTTCAATAAAAGTACAAATTTTCTCCAAACACATAGTTTGGTTGTGATCTTTTATTTTCCACAGAACAGGTAAAAAGATCAAAACAATTTTCAGCTAAACAGTAGTTGACATGTTCAGAAACATTTGACAAAGCCGTGCAAACATCTGAAACAAAAAAAGCTCTCATCTTTATGTCAAATTCTTGCCTTGTTAAGTTTCCACTAAAAAAAAAATAAAATAATTCTAGTTTGTCTAATATGCCTAGTGCTTTTGTGGGAAGTTTAAAGTTGTAGAAATTTCCCAGAGAAGCTATAGCTTCTGAGAGGAAGTTCTCAGCCAATTTTTTTCCTAAAGCAAAGGAATGGCCCACTGGGATCTCACTGGTCCCCAGAGAAGCCCTAAGGAGAGTCCCAGAGGAGCAGTGGAAGGGGCGTGGTACACACAAGACTTGCACACACTCCTGCAATCCAGATCAGCACAGCGTTCAGCAACAGAGCCTTGCCTGGGATAGACCGAAATGTGCCACTGGTTCAGCCAGCAAAGGAGTGAACACATATGCTGGCTGCAGAGCCCTGAAGCCTGTTACACGGGGCATTTAAGGCAAGCCTAACTGTGTGTCATGAAGGAAAACCACAGACCCGTTCCTTGGAGCTCTAACACAGGCTATTTGGACCAAACATCTGCTAAGGTTCACCCCAAAAGCTCTGGTGGACCCTTGCATGGATGGATCCAGGCATCCTCCTCATACTAGTCAAAAGGCCAACCACCGTCATTTCAGCATCTGAGAGGCCTTTCTGGTGTGAAGAGACAGGCAGGACACTGTTTCTTTGAGGATCAGTGCCACTGGCTACAGGCTGCATTTTCAGAAGTGTCAGAATTTGTGTACCAGCCCTTACACATAAAACATATCTGCTACAGAGCCATCGGAGCATCACCACAGGAGACAGGAAAGGAGCTAGCATGCGTTGAATCTGGTTTTCACATGCATTTTGCTAGGAATAACAAAGGCTATTATAATCCTGCATTCCCAAATGATCCTTTAAAAAAATTTTTTTTGAAACTGTGACTCAAACGCTAGTAAGTAAAATCTACTCCCATGCAACTAGCCAAGGAGTTCAATTTCCTTTGGCAAAGTGCATTAACCACAAAGCAAATAACATGTTTGCTGCAAAAATGACAAGAAGGGAGACCTACCTTCATCTTTGTTTTTTGTTTACATGCTTCCATTGGTACCCAGGGAAGTTTAACTCTGGGCATAGTCAAGTCCTCGGGTTTCAGCACTCCTCTGGCCATCCATCACCCTGCAACTTCTCCTCAGCAATTCAGTCCCAAGGCATTAAGCTGTCACAGCTCACTAAGAAATTAAACTTGATGACACCTAAGCAGATTCATTAATGCATTAAGCAAATGCAATCTGATTGGTTCCTTTTTTTAGGCGTTTGGCAAGCAGTGTGCAAACAAACCTGGAGGATGAGGCTCTCAGGGGAGGGCAGGCAGCTTGCCAGTGTTCTTGCTTAAACAGAGGGAAAGAAAGTACCAGCTCCACAAAGCCTCACTAGAAGAATTTACAACCTACTGCTTGCTTCAAGACAGCAGGTGGTATCAGTTACTTCTGCCTTCTGGAGAGATGATGCTGTTTCCATACGTGTCACAGCACACAGGACATTTCAACTGTAAAAACAATGTGGCACTATCATGACCCAAACAAATCTCAAAGGACTAGCTGTGCCTTGCATGTGGACTGAATGACACAGACCACCTCTAGGTTAACCTTGAGGGAAAATTCTCATCATCCATGAGCACGTGTCTGCTGGCTCTGCAGTTGTACTGACTTGCAACCTTTATCATTAACTGCTCTTCCAGCCTAGTAAGACAGCCTAAGTGATGAGGCCACCAAACCAAAGCAGTGCAAAGGGAGACAGTTGCTGGTGTCAGGCACATATCTTCACTGTTAATTCTGTCACGTCCCACAACATGGACCAGCTGTCACAGGTGGCGAGACTCCAACATCTGTCCTTCCCGGAGACTCACGTTTCATTACTGATAAATATAGCTATTGGCCCCGTAAATCAGTAGAGTTACAGTTTTGCAGGACACTTGAGTACATTATGATTGGCATATATTTGACTTGTGCAGGCAGCTTGACCGTACTACTTTAACCTTGGGCTATGACCTCATTAGACCTCACGAATTAAACAGGACCAGGCTGGAAAGATACTTGGAGGAGAATCCTTAAGTGCAACAGGACACAGGACACACGATTCCATAAGAAACACGCTTCTAGGAAACACTACTATGTGAACAGTCTAGTAATACATTTCATGTATGAATGCAAAATATGCCTTCCTTGGTAGGGGGAGAAATCAGTAAAATCCACACCAGTATTGCCTATACATTAAGTATACCTATACTTAAATATAGGAATGTTATCCATGTTGTCTGATCAAATAGGATATAGCTATTTGTATTCTGCTCAACTAAATTTCCCTTGGGCCACCCACCACGTGCGTTGCCATTCTTCACTGCAATGTGACTGCAAAGCACCTATAGGGTGGAGGGTAACGCAGCAGTTCCCTGCGTGGAACAAGAGTGGCTGTAGGAGTGGTCAGACCAAGGGTCTGCCTTGCCCATGGCTGTCCCCTGCAGCGGGCTGCAGTAGGCGCTGGATGAAAAGTAAAGAACAGGCAGGCACATAGTGGTGCTTAACCTCCTCTCCAAGTTACTTTAACTTACTAGAGCTAATGCTCTTGATTATTTTTCTGTAATAAACACAAATGCCGGCCTCATGGTTCTGGAGAACCCAGCAAGAAAACAACACCACACATGCAGCTCAGCGCTTATTCCTTCCTCCAATATCCAAGCAGTCTGCACAGCCTGCCACCACAACCGTCTGACTGAAATAGAGTAATTCCCATTTCTCATCTAGGCTTTGCACTTACGGATGGGAAGTCCTCATGTGCCACTTCTCCAGGAAAAGGCTACCGAGACTGCCACCAAAGAAAGCAAGGCAACCAGACTTCAGAACAGCTACTAATAATTTCCTCATTTTATTTTAAAAATCTTCTGTTTCTCTCAACACCTATTTAATTCTAGCACTGAATATTTAAAGAGATAAGGTGCTTTGCTAAAGTTTTGACTTAGCTGCTGGTCCAGATAATGGCTGATAAAGCCCTCGAGTTGTAAAGCAAAACAGTACCTATTGACACAGATATTTTCTTTGTTTAGAAAAACAAGCTTTGCTTGAAATATTTGTGAATAAATTAGCTGACAAATATAGTTCATTTTGCTATCTACAAACCAATACTGACTTTTATGCAGAAACTGATTATTAGCAAATATTTTCCAAAGAGCTCACAGAAGCAACATTCAGCTGAGTAATTATTCTTGGAACAATTCGCCACACTGCTGCCTCTGCACTCGTGGTACATGAGCAAGTGGGTGCCCAAGCCATATGGCATTGTTTCTGCTTCCTAAGTAATCGAAGCGGGCAAAAAAACAGAAACAAGATGAACCCTAAATTACAGCTGCTTTTCAGTTTGAATTTTGAGCAAGCAATTATATGTACTAAAACCCTTGAATCTTTGCAATATCTGAATATTTCATTGAACTAACCAGTAGCCAGGCAAAAAACCTCCTGCAATAGCAACCATAATGCAGCTTTTCCTGGAAGATATCACAATGTGATCATGCGTTTTATTCACAAAAATATAAACCAACCTTTCTTCAACTCATTCAGCCTGCTGTATTAGTTTTTCATCATAGGACTCCCAGTGAGGCTGATGCTCTGGACAAAGCAGTCCATTGCTGCAAAAGAGGGTATAGCTGTATCAAAGTAAATGTTTTTATGAGTATGTCCTAGTAGACAGATATTCGGGGGCTCTGCAAC